CGCGGCGCCCCCGCCGCCCCCGCGCCCCGCGCCGGGGCGCCCCCCGCCCCCCCCCGCCGCCGCCGGGGTAGTTGATCGTTCGCGGTGGTTCTGCTGTACTATTATCTACGGTTCTGCTTCGCTCGGTATGAGACAGTTGAACTGGAAGAAGTCCGTTCGTTTTTGCATAAGTATAAGGTATAGTACTAGGTTATTTTGAGAAGAGAGGAGGTTGAAGAGCCTGGGTGGTTGAAGAAAAAGCATGGAAATAGCATCGTGTCGCATCTTATACATCTTCCCTTTGTTTTGTTTTGGTTTATGAGCATATACGTATATATTAGGCGCGTCTAGCATGTACATAGCATATTGAAAGATTGAATATTGAAGATTAAATAGGCAATATATAGGCATTATACTGGCCCTTGTGTTGTGCACAAGCTGTACTTACATAGGGACTTAGCATCAGAGCATAGTGAGAATAGGGGTTCTCCATAGTCTGCGATATATCTACTCATTGTGCTAATACTATTGCAGATATGCAATGTAGTTCTTGAAGTACCTGCACAACGAATTTGAGTACCGGGTAGGCTGGGCGGAGATCGATGTATCTTTGAAATTAATAACCCTGATTCTTTTGATGTGTATCGAGTTAAGGTAGTTACGGGGGCCATGCCAGATGTGACCCCTCACGGTGCCTTCATTATCACGCGCCATAATCAGTCGCTATAGAAGATGAAATAGGCTCAAACAGATAGACGTTTACAAAAATGAATGACCGATTAGCGAATATAACAATACTGCACTAGGTAGTAATAGGTTGTTTAAGCCTTAACTTTCCCCCAGCTATGATTTTATTATACACTTATTATCACCTAGTCCCGCAATGGCGATCTCGTGATTATACCGTTGAATCCTTGATTTCTGTATCCAGCTGATATCGGATCCCGGAATAGGTGTACGATAAGGGCCAATAGCACCCTCAACAAAAGATGCAGGTATTAGCAAGCCATTCACGTGATTGGCGTCAGGTTGGGTTACATTTAGAGATGAGTTCCTTCGGCATATGGATCACAGCCTGCGCAAAGAATACTGTCTGCCTAATCCAAGGTCGTCACAATGAGCTTGTACACGACCTCTTCTCCAGTGCTCTATCTAGTATTCCACAATGTCTGGACATCGTGTTCAGCGGATCGGCTTTACGCGACTCTCTCGTGACGACTCGTCGCAGGGTAGCCCGCCGAAAGTCAGGTAAGGCGAGGCTCCCCCTTTGTAGTTCCATCTCGCTATCCTACTCACTGTTCGGGTCACAGCATAATATTCGTGCACGGTCTCCGGGGCCACCCACAGGCCACCTGGGTACACCGACAGACAGAAATAAATCAAAGAACTACCGAGGCAACGCGGAGGCGGGATCGATTCAAGGAAATCTTTCGATCTCAACATGCCCCATCGACCCCTACAAACTTAATCGAGTCGAGTATTAATGAGACTCTGTTCTGGCCTCGGGATTGCCTCCTCGAAGACATACCAGAAGCCGAAGTATGGACATACGGGTATAATGCGGATGTCATTGGAGGTCTGTTCCAGGCCAATAACCAAAATAGCATATCCCAGCATGGCCGAGACCTTGCTGTCAAGCTGGACCGACACATTGAGGCCAAGGTGAATTCATAAATGTATTACCTATATCAGAACTTTCTAACCTTGATCAGTCGTCACCGCTGCCAATAATCTTTGTAGCACATAGCGTTGGTGGAGTTGTCCTTAAAGATGTATGTTCTACTTGGGGGGAGGTTTGAGGTATTGATACTAAAGTAGCCCAGGCATTACGCCGATCTATGCTTATCCAATCATGCACCAAGCTGGCCATCTTTCTCGGTACACCTCATCGAGGCAGTTCTTCTGCTGGCTGGGGTGTTATCGCGTCTAACCTTGCCAAGCTTGCTTTTCAAGACTCGAACAAACGTATCGTTCAGTCCTTGGAGCCGAATAGCGAAGTCCTCGACAACATTCACGACGAGTTCTTAAAGTTATTACATAGCGCTACCATCAAGGTTCATTCTTTCCAAGAGGCAAAGGCTATGTCAGGGGTGAAAGGGTTAGATGGAAAGGTGCTCGACAACTCTCCATGTATATCTTATTGATTTTGAACAATGGTTACTAATATTCGCTCTATTCTCAGGTCGTAGATGACTATTCTTCCAAAATCGGTTCCCCAATATTCGAAACGGTGGAAAGTATCGACGCGAACCATATGGAAATAGCCAGATGCACATCTAGGACTGATCCGCGATATGAAGCTATCATAGGAGTGATCAAACAGTTTATGCGTTCTGGCATATCGAGTGACCATAATGTTAGACTCCAGGAACTTCCAGCAACTCAGGTAGAGCGACAGGGACATCTTGCTCTCGGCGAGGCAGCCTTAGTGCAAAATAGTTAGTAAAATGCCAACATCATCAGTTGTGATAGCCTATTGACCTTGCTCAGCTCATTCTCATAGACCGTGCCATTATCTCCCATTCTTGAAGAATAGACGTTTCACTGGACGAAGAACCATCCTTGACACGCTTGAAATGAAGCTATTTACACAGAAAGAGTCCCAAGTACTCACAATTGTAGGATTAGGCGGGGTTGGCAAGACCCAGATTGCCCTACAGCTTGCCTACTGGGTAAAGGACAACCGACCCGAATACTCTGTGTTTTGGGTGCCAGCACTAGGCCATGCAAGTTTTGAGCAGGCCTATGCGGAGATAGCAAGACGACTAGATATACGGATCAAGCCTGAGGAGGACCTAAAAGAGACGGTACGGCGATACCTCGAATCGGATGCAGCAGGAAAATGGTTTTTGATTGTAGATAATGCCGATGACACGGAAATTGTGCTTGGACCGCCCGGCAAGCGTGGCGGTATATATGATTACATACCCCAAAGCGACAATGGCTTGACTGTGTTTACTTCACGATCGAGAGAAGTAGCGACAGCAGTTGCAGGGAGCGATATGATCGTATTGCCTGAAATGACTGCAGAAGAGGCGTTAGAATTCTTCGAAAAGGCCATTTTTGACAAAACTCTGGCCCAGGATAAAATAACAACAGTCGAACTTGTCCGAGAACTTACACATCTTCCGCTAGCTATTGCACAGGCCGTCGCTTATCTTAATCAGAATCAAATGCCACTCAAGAAATACCTAGCGCTTATACGAAACACAAATGAAGACACGGTTAGCCTAATGAGCCGAGAGTTTCACGACAATACGAGGTACCCGGAATCGCGGAATGCTGTGGCGTTAACCTGGCTTGTATCATTCGATCAAATCTGCCGGACCGACAGTCATGCTGCACAACTACTTTCATTCATATCGTGCATCGAGTGGAAAGCTATCCCTCAATCCATATTGCCTGAGACACTGGTACAAGAAGAGATGGAAAACGCCATCGGTGGTATGTCAATCTCGAGTTTATTTGCATTCTACCCCCCTAGCCGTTCACAGACGCGAAAAATCTTGTCACCGTGTCGAGGTTCACTGCTGGGGAGCATGCTTAGCTCCTGACCACCACACCTATATTAGCTGCTAGAGTGACTGGTGTTCTAACATATCATAGTGCTCTGCGGATACGCTTTCTTAACTCGGCGAGAAGAGGAAGATATGTTCGACATGCATCGTCTCGTACATATCGCCACACGAGTATGGGTAAAAAATGAGAAGCTTGAAAGACAGACCGAGGCTGGGGCCATTCAGCACCTCGCATCTATTTTCCCATGGAACTATGAAGAAAACCGATTATTGTGGAGAGCATATTTGCCACACGCGCAACATGCTCTATACGTCAGTCAAGAGTATAAGGACGCAGAACGTTTCGAACTGCTCGAGAAGATGGGACAATGTCTCTATGAGGATCGACGGTTTAAAGAAGCGATTTCGACATTAGAAGAGACATATCAGTGGAAAAAGCCACAGTTCCCTGAAGAGCACAACGATCTACTCTGGACCGAGATCAGACTCGCAAGCGCCTACCTTAGTGACCGGCGGATCAAGAAGGCTACTGCGATGTTGGAGCATGTTGTTGCTATAAGTATGGAGACCGTCGCTGACGATGATTCTATGCGGCTTCATTCCGAGCACGAACTTGCAACAGCCTATTGGAACAGCCAGCGACTAAGCGAAGCCATCACGCTTTTTGAACGTGTCGTGACTATACGAAAAAACTTACTTGCGGAAGATGATACCTATAGGCTTACATCTGAAATGATGCTCTCAGTTGCCTATATGGATAATGGGCAGGTAAATAAAGCCATCCCACGTCTCGAATATATTGTGGCTATACAGAGACGAACGTTAGCAGAAGATCACATGGGTCTGTTGTTATCTGAGCACAACCTTGGATGTGCTTATTTGAAGGCAGAGCGGATCAGCGAAGCTATCGAAATACTCGAGCATGTTGTAACTATACAGAAAACGAAGTTGGCAGAAGATGATGACTACCGAATAGCATCTGAGTCTCCCCTAGGATATGCTTATTTAAGGGACGGCCGAAATCGTGAAGCTGTTCAACTACTGGAGCATGTTGTATCTATACAGAGGAAGACGCGTGAAGAAGCTGACCGACGCCGGTTAATACCTGAGCGCGAACTTGGGCGGGCTTACATGCAAGACAGGCGAACCACCGAAGCTATTACGCTTCTTGAACATGTGGTGGCTGTTGAGAAAGAACTGGATGATGTGAGCGACAAAAGCAAGGCTAATTCTGAATATTGGCTTGCGAGGGCTTATTTTCAAGATCAGCGGATCAATGAAGCTATTACGGTTTTTGAACATGTTGTGGCTATTGAGAAAGAACTGGATGATGTGAGCGATAAAAACAAGGCTAATTCTGAATCTTGGCTTGCGAGGGCTTATTTTCAAGATCAGCGGATCAATGAAGCTATTACGGTTTTTGAACATGTGGTGGCTGTTCAGAAAGAACTGGATAATGTGAGCGATAAAAACAAGGCTAATTCTGAATATTGGCTTGCAAAGGCTTCTTTTCAAAATCAGCGGATCAATGAGGCTATTACGCTTCTTGAACATATTGTGGCTGTTAGGAAAGAACTGGATATAAGTGATGAGGACAAGCTGTGGGCACAGGAATTATTGGAGCGAGCGTACAGCACGCGATACCAGCAATCTATGGTCAGACTGTGGTGGAAGTTTATGACCCCTGTCAGGTAGTGCTATATATACCCGATACAGTACCTAGGGTCGCCATTGGAGTGTTTCGGAGCGGAAGAACGAAGCAATTTCTGAGGGCGCAATGAACGATGGATGAATAATAATAACCCGAATGTCTATCTAGTTCTATGAATCTGCGACGAGGCGGGAGATACGGTAGCAATATCGTTGCAATTCCAACACGACGTGAAGACTGAGAACAGGAAACCATCGAGCGACGTCGTGAGAGTCTGGGCGGGTGTGGTGGGGCTAGAAGGGACTTAAGAGCGCTAGAAAACTTTTCTTGGCCGCCCTGAACGGCAGGTACTTAACATAGGTACCTACCTAGCCTACCGTTGTCTCTTAATCGCCAACGCGTCCGTTCGCTGTCAACCAAATCCCGACCCGGACCCGGACCGGCTATCGAAGTTGAAGAGAGTGTGACAGCGGAGCGAAACAGCCATGGCGGAGATGGAGAGAATGGAAATCGATCCGCTGAACCCTCCGCCGCCCAGGGTCATCGAGGTCCTGGACGGTCCTCCCTCTCGCCCGAAGAGCACACCGCGGCCCAAGGGCACAAGCACCAAGCATCTGTCCGAGCTCGACCGCTTCAGGGTCCGCACCCTGTATTACGATGCGCGCATGGCCACTGCTCGCATACGCCAGGTCACCGGCTATTCAAAGAGTCAAATCCGGACCGCTATCAAAGCTCAGACCGCTGCTATAGGGAGGCGCTCCGGACGTCCCAAAGAGCCGGCCGAGAAGAGGGGCAACAAGTGTAAGTCGCCATGATTCATTCTACGCTTACGATGAAATGACTTGTTTATGTGATTATGGCACATCAAATTCATTTACTTGATAATTACAAATCTCACCCCCATCTGCTTCCTAGCTGTTGTTCATCCCTTTTTACAGGCCGCCTAGCTGATCACGCTGACGCGCTTCTTAGCACACAAAAAGAAGACAGCGCCCAATCAATCTGACCCGGATTCTGAGCTCATTCGGCAGGCGAGGGAGTATTTCGCCCACAAAACTCCCGTGAACCCTGTTGAAGAAGCAATTCCTGCAGAGGATGAAGGTGATGATGATCAAGATGAAGATAGAGAAAGCCAGGATGAAGATGACGACGAGTCGCCTCCTGACGCACTAGCCACACCTTTGCCAGTCACACCATTAGCACGTGTCACGCCCTCAGAGGTACCGGCTACACCATCGGCACTAGCCACACCTTTAATCTCAGCCTCAACTTCAGCTTCACCAGCGCGGACCTTGGCAGTCGGTTCATCACGAGAGGACTCTGCGGAAGAAGAGTCTTTAGTAGAAGGACGGAAAACCTTCAAAAGTTTACCTCGTGAGATACGGATACACATCTGGCGATGCGTACTGTCAACCGCGCCCTCACAAGTCGCACCCTTGCGGACCTGGGCGCTCGCTGTCCTGCCTCGTGCGCCGTGGCTCGAGCTGGGTATGACGCCGCCGCCTGACGTGAAGATTGAGAACCCGCCCTGGGACCACTACGTCAATGAAAGACACGTACCAGTGACCGTTTTAACGCAAGTGAATCGCGAGGCGAGAGGGGCCGTCTTAGAGCGCTTCACGCCGATCAGGGTGTCGACGGCTACACCCGAAGCGTCGAAGAACCTACCGTTCTTCATCTGGATCGATCGGTGGAGCGACGTGATACACTTCTTCGGCGAGCCATTTCGCATTGAGCTGTTTGAGATGGCTGGGAAATGCGCCTACCCGAAGCTTTACGCGTGATTTGTTATGATTTAATGTGTTCGCATATTTTTTTGGTGTTACTTAGGAGATAGCAGATGATTGGAGTCCATGTATATACACCATCTTTGAGCGCTTGGAGTTTGTATGGGTTGGATATTGCTCATGTTTGGTAGATACCATGCTACCTATTATTTAAAAGCATTAGTTCTAAAACTATTTTGCTGCCTTATGTTAATACTCTCAAGTATATGTATGCGGTCTCGTTCGACTGAAGAATGTATGCATCCAGTGCGCTTCAGTAGCTCACGATAACCACCCCAGCCCTCAACCAACAGTTACTCCCCCCAAATCCCGCATTCAATCCGTAATCATCTCCGCCCTCTTCCTCCGCTGATACTCCTCCACAACCGTTCTGAACCCATCATCATAGCTCAGCACCAGCCAAATCAGAAACACGAACGCCGTCACCGGCAGCGTGAAAACCCAGTACACCCAGAACCGCTCCGTGACGACGAACTCGCGGTCCCACCGCAGCGACGGCACCGAGAACAGCGCCGCGAAAAACGTCCCCGGGAGAAACGCCATCGTCATCACGGCGATCGTCTTCATCGACGCCGTGTCGCGCTTCGCGGACTCGGCGAGGTCCCGGTGCGTCGAGGCCATCTCCCGGTTCAGGCGCGATTCTTCGTGCGCGCGGAGCGCGAGGATCTGGGGGGTTTGGAAACGAGGTTGATTTAGTTGCTTTGGAAAGATGCGGTGTGCTGTCTACGGTGAGAAAGGAGGGGTTTACTTACGAGGTGCGATTGGCTTTGCGCTCGTGTGGTGGTGTACTTGGTTGCGGACCTGGAAGCTGTGCTTTGTTGCCTTAAAGACCGTATGACTGCGGAGAAGACGTGCATGTCTTTCTCGCAGAGGTCTAGGCGCCGTTTTGCGGTTGGCGTGGACTCGAAACGGGGTTCCCATGAGGTTTGATCTGATAATGCGTCGAGTAAAGTGTCGATTATGTCCATTTTTCGCTCTTCGCTTGATAGTGATGCTGTCAATTTCTCGATGTACCGCGCTGCTACGGTTAGGTTCCCGAGTGTCGCGCTTGAAATAGCACTGTTTATCTGTTCGAGCATGGCGGTATGATCGGGCGGTCTCGCATCGCTCCATGTCTTGGTACCTAACTTGCGCTCCTGCGTGGTCATACGCACGAGGAAGATAAACAAGAGTGTGTAAGGGTTGAATATGTTTGCGCGGATTTGGCGCAGCGAAGCTAGGAAATCAACAGAAGCGCGACGATGCTGACATTGGAGATGGGGGAGCCCGCGACGGTTTATCAGGATTGCTTTGGTCTCTGATGTCACGAAGTTGAACGACCAGATAAGCTCCATCTGCGCGTTGGCGACGAAATACGTGCTCGTGTTCTTCCCCAAGCTAGTTGGGACCGTCTCACTGAACTCAAGAAAGCCGAAAACATTGTTCACGATGGGCTGGAGCACGCTTCTGTCTATGCCCAGCGCGTCTATCAAGCTTAGGAAGACGGGTTTCGATATACCGATTCCTTCGGACGCGCTGCCGTTGCTGCTTGTCCACATACTGACGAGCAGCAACGATGCAGTTACGCTTTCGCTGTACTCCGAATCCCCGAGCGAGGATAACAAGGAGATGCGATTCACGACATTCGCTTCGTATGCATCTTCTATCTCATAAGTTGCCGCACGCAAGTCTTCACCGTTTGCTCTGATCCTAGCAATCCTGAGCTCGGTCGCGCTACTCGCGTCGAAGTTCTCGTATTCATCGTATATAGATAGCGCCGTTTTTCTGAGCAACTCCATCGCGCGAATATCGCATTCTCTACTGGCTGGATCCTCCCATGATAGCTTCGTGGTGCACGTTCCAAAGCGGGATGATAATGAGACCCACGCTGCGACAAGCTTATTTCGTTGTTGAGGAGTGGCGCGATTATTCAACTAAGTATCGTGTTTCCTATATCGTCCGATCACAGTGAGATGGCAGCTGGGGAGCTTATGACCCCGGTTTCTATAGCCTGCGATGATTGGCCATGTTTGTACTGTCTTCTCATCTCTGGTCGTCCCGCACTCGCCTTTTACGGGTTTAGGCTGATGCTAGTTCTATATACCTTATATTCACCTCGATAACATGCCTCTTTGAAAGTCCATCATTATGAAATACTCGTACTTACCTGTATGCTATAGGTATATGTAGTACACCCCTGCCCTTGGTATGACTACATAGTAGGCGAAGTGTCCTCGGACTCTACCCGATAGTCCGAACTTGTGACCAGGAATACAAAGGGGAAAAAACAGGGTTCCCAAAAAGATGAAAAGATGATAATCTCTGAAAAGTCCAGCCTGCCGCATGACTTCCACGTATTGATAATAATGTCGCCCTACATACTCATTATAGCTAGTACTGCTTACATTCCCAAGACTCTTGGGGTTTCTGATAAACAATTCTCTTGAACTTCGATAGTTAGGCCGTGAATAGATACGGGCACCCGCAGTTTGAGGAAAAGGAATAACTACCTATACAGTTGGGCACCGGAGAGTTGTTTCCCAGGTTTGGCGTTTCACTTGTCTTGGCTCCCAAGAACTACAAGGATAAGGGCTTTGGATGGGGTATTGCGGCTGCTTACTATCTTGGCAGGTAAACCATAGCCCCGCGACAGGCCTCTATTCCAATCATCAATAGACATTACATCTTTAATAGCGCTGGCAGAGGAAATGATGACGACGACTGGGTTTCATGGCTCATTATATCAGATAGGTAGGCTCTGGTGCTGGGATTGCGGGGGTCCGGGAGAGGTCGATCAATCAAACCGTCCAACCCTTGTCCAACTGTCCTTGAAACTACCATGGTTTTAGCAATGATGCCTGTTGGGAGATCACAAGCTACACCACACTACGAATTAAACCAGTCTAAACTACTGCATATTGCCGCTGGGCAGCTCGCTATGTACCAGTTCCGCTGAATCTTGCCTCACATGCCAGATTGAGACTCCATCCATCCAGCGCCAAGCTCAAACACAGAATCCCCCGTGTGAAACAAACCCCCTTCAGCAAGCCTACCCGGCCTCTCGGGACCGACCATATCGTACCATGCGTTGCTTTCAGGCTGGTCTATAATGCCTCCTTGAACTATGTAAGAGGGCGAGAGGTACTATAGATGCATAGCAAATAATAAAAATAAACATAAAGAGTCTAGATTCTTGGCATCGAAACAAAGCTTATTGCGTCTCCATCATTTCTGCGACGGGATAGCCAAGGTATTACCTAGAAGGCCAAGTGTAAAGGTTGGAGACGGAAAGCGGAGTCCCGACGGGTACTGACTTGGCATTTGGTAGACCACTTCCATCTCTATTTTAGAACCCACAGTTCAATGAGCATTACATGTAGCTGATCTCCGATGCCAATGCTTAGAGATCTTGGACGAGAATAGTTGTCTGCAAGACTAACTTGATTTGGTTTGAGATATTCTGGAATCCAACGGATGATAGAGTTCCCGACGAGGGGTTGTACACCTCCAACTAGGAAAGGACGGTTTCAGCTATCGGAAAAAATAAGAAGGAAGGATCAGTCTATAGTTGTTAATAAAGCGTTCAATAGGAAAATTGTAAGACGGAAGATGCGAGGTAAGCGGCAAGGTGACCTATCCTGCATGATAGGTGTCTGGTGGCATGGTGATCATGTCGGCGTACAGTACGGTAGAAAGGTGAAGTGATACACCCTTGTCAGCAAGAATTAGCGAGTCTGCAGTTATATAACTAGACAGCAACACCGAGGTGCGGCAAACAGGCAATTTCGCATTCCGAATAATCATACCCTTCACTGTTCTTCTTCCAGATTATACTTAGACAATATGTCCAAGTACTATGTTCTTTTCCCCCCTGGTGCTTCTCTTTCTGCCGCTGGCGTGGAGTGCGGCTCTGCACACCCGGCAGACGTCAAGAGATGATTGTTCTACCGCCATGAAACTGGTACAAGAAAGCTCATCCGGTATCATTGAGGGCCAAGCAGCATTTGATTGCCTCGAGTCTTTCCCATTCGATGCGACCAAAGCCGACAACTTCCTTAGCGAAATCCGAAAGTATTTTCAGTTCCAGTCTACCCTAGAAGCTCTTAAACGTCCACCAGATACCTATCGATCGGTTGGCGTTGATATTGTAGGAGGTTTAGATAAAATAAGCAACACTACCTACAAGAACCAGTTCCAGTTTGATAGTAATCTCAGAAGTCTAATAAGGTCTGCTAATGACGGCCATTTCTTCATCCTTCCTTGTTCCCTTGGTCCCTTCGACTTTTTCCGCCAAACAGTTGGCCTTGCTCCTGTTTCGAAGGATGGCCTAGAGAAACCTGATATTTATGTGGCATATGATGTAGAGGCTCTCTTGCTCGGAAGCACCTGCGTATCACCGATCACTACCATTAACGACCAAGATGTAATCGAATACCTCGAGACAGCAGCTGCCCTACTAGCATTCCAAGACCCCGATGCACGATGGAACTCACTCTTCGCTTCGACTGCAGCATTGGCTACTGGAAGTACAGACATTGCGGCACTCTGGGGCCAATTTACTTCTAATGCGGGACTCTGGCCTGGTGTCAACAATACACACCTTGGATTCAAGAATGGCTCCACGCTTGACTTGCCAACGCTTGCGCAATACAACTATCAGTCTATTTTCCCAACCTCTACAGCCCTTTACCAAGCTGCATGTATGCCAGATGAGCCCAATATTCCACGTCGAGGTACACGTACGAAACGCAATCATAATGCTGAGGTCAGCCCTACTGCGACAACCGGCCCGCCTGGATTTCCTAAACCTTTCGTACGAGACCCATACAATCAGATAAGCGGCTATAATCTTGACGAGGACACTGCAGTTATGTTTATACCCACGTTTGAGGGTGGGTCTGGATTTCCTGTCGGCCAGGACCTCGTTTTTGGTCAAGTAGCTACAGAAATAGTGAACACGGCTATTGCTAGTGGACGCACTAAGCTTATCATCGATCTCTCACAAAATGGCGGCGGAGATATCGCACGATCCTTCGACCTGTTTAAGCTGTTTTTCCCTTCCCAAACTCCGTACTCAGCTACTAGATTCCGACGCCACGATGCTTCCGATCTGCTCGCTCGATCCGGCAAGGGGGTAAATAGCACAGCAGCGGGAGCGGACCCGTTCGATTTCCAGGGCGCCGTCAACCCAGCTCAGGACGCGGGGTTTTCCTCTGTCGACGATTTCTTAGACGGAGAAAGCCAGCTCGGAGTTAATGTCACATCTCTCTATGCTAACTTCAACTACACTCTCTTGTCTCTCTTGAACATTGACAACGGCCCAATCCGCGGCTTTGGCGGCGCGCCGATCAATAAGACCCAACCGTATGCGCCAGAAGACATCCTTGTCATCACCGATGGGATCTGTTCTTCAACTTGCACTACGTTTGCCAACCTGATGATAAATACTGGAGGTGTTCGTTCCCTGACTTTTGGAGGTCGACCTCGATTTGAGCCAATGCAAGTGATGGGTGGTGTCCGTGGGGCCCAGAGCCTCGCCTTCTCCGACCTTGATACTGAGATAGCAGAGGCGATCGAGCGCATAAGCGACAATCGTTCAATATTCTCCCAGGAGCAAGTCGATCTTGCGCAAAAGGTCTGGCCAAGGGGCCTTCAGAACCTCCCACTGCCTATCAATGGCGGAGGAGTCAATCTTCGGAACGCGTACCAGGAGGGCGCCGATCACCTCCCTCTTCAATTCGATTACCAGGCTTCCGACTGCCGCTTGTTTTACACGGCGCAGAACCTCGTGGACCCCTCAAGCATTTGGGCCGATGCCAAGGCCGCAATCTGGGGCGACCGGGGCTGCGTTAAGAACTCCACCGGCGGGAAAGGGTCCTTAGCGGACCGTACCAAGAAAACCAATGCCAATAGCAATAGTACTGGTGACAACCAGACCGGTGGCGCTAGTGGCAGTAGTATCGCCAGTGATGACCAGAGCACGAAGATTGAGGATGGTGCAAGCAGTGGCGCGCAGAGATTACATCTCGGTGGTGGCCTGCTTGCTCTTAGCGTGCTTGCGAGCGTGTTTGCTGTTATAATGTAAATGCTGCGATTATATTCTCCTTTACGTCCCGGTATTAACGATATGAAACAGGAGAAATTACGTTTTACAACCTATGCATACGATATACAAGTTAATAAAATAGCATTTGCAACTTTAGTTAGAGGCATATAATTGATACCCCTTTTCGTAATATAATTGAGTTAAACCTCATCTGTATGTCAGCTCAATATTAGGCACTCTTACAACCACGGGTACAGCGATATACGAGAGTTCCAAGGAAAGGCAACATTGTTGAAGTGCAGTCCTGGACTCTGAAAGCCAACAACGTTAAACAGTAACACTCGGGGGGGTTCGTCTCGTTTGGCCGGGATATGTCCAATCAAAGGCTTGTGGTGCTATTGTGCTTACATTGAAGCGTCATAAATTGACCACGCCTTTCAAACTGTAACAACAATGTCGCAAGGACGATGATGCATGGTCGGGGGGGTTCTCCAGATAATACTTACATCCAAAGTAATCATAGCAGCCGTGGAAATGTAATCTGCTTATGGGCGGTGGTCTGTTAACGGTAGCCCATTGACTTCAGTTCGACCGGACACATATTACGTAGACCGCACTCGAGACATTGTATTGCTCTGTTGCTCGATTAACGTCACTCATAAGTAGCGTACATGCAACCTCGACAGCAGCTCCTTCTCTCTTTTCACAAGGCGCAAAGCATGATCCGACCACTTCGTTCCACGTTGTTCTTCGTCACCTTGGCGGGCTTAAACCCATCCCCATCCTTATCAGCAGTAGCAGCAGCAGCATCAGCTTCAGCCAACTTATCGGTCTTCGCAGCCCGCAACGCGTTGATGAGCCCCGGGTACCACACATTGGCCATCTTTTCGTCCCCTGCTAGATTGGGGTGCAGGCCGTCGCGCAGGTCAGCGACCGGATCGATTCCTGTATTCTGGTCCACCACCCAGATCGGCGACTCTGTTTTGTTCAGCCCTTGCGCCCATGCTGGTATCGCCTGATTAAGATTCGTGATAGCTGTATTCCATATCACGTTGGTGCTGGGGATAATTTGCGCGACCTAGTATGCAGGGTATTGGTCAGTCGCTCTCGCCTCTTACAACTGTTATAAATCATGGGGGGAATCTAGTGTTCAAAGACTTAGACCCTGACTCCTGCCGTCGGTATCATTAGCACTGACAATGATCTTGATCTTCGGATTGCTATCCCTCATCACCCCCACGAGCCTCGTAAAAGTGGCAAGGATCTGGTCCACGGGGGGGTTAAGCCACCCAATATCGTTAGTGCCTAGATGCATCGTAACCACATCCGCGGGATTCGCCTGAAGCCAGCCTACGAGCTGTCCGCTATTGGCGATATTGATGGCCAGAAACCCCGAGTGCCCCTCACTATCGCGGTCGTAGCGAGTGTTTCCGCAATTATTATCAATCAAATTGCTTGACCCGACCCAATCCACCGAGGCGAACTCGGTGCTTTGCAGCTTCTCCCATAACAGTGCGCGCCAGCAGACGGCTTCAGTTATGGAATCGCCTAAAGGCATGTATCGTAGTATGTTCTGGGCGGCCACTGCGCTGGCCAAGAGCGCGAAGCTTAAAAGTCTGAAGGCGACCATGTTAGGAGGCAAGTACTGTGTACTAGGGGCTTTGGAAGTTAACAAAACGAGCTTGGAGGCATTGGTTTCTTTATAGAAGGGAGCAATGCCACCCGTTATATATACCTAGCTCATGCTCCAGGGTTGCCTTTTAAGTAGGCATGCCTTTGCGATTGATCTGGTGGCAGAATACGCGGTGTCCCCTCATTGAAGTATAGGCATTTCGTTTCGTTGGCTAAGCAGATTGCGATAGAAAAGTAAATATCTGGTTGGACTGTCGGTGTTGGCCGACATTCACAATACCTATCATGTCTTATAAGGGAAAGTTCAGACCAGCTGAGATGCATGATGGCAACATTATTGGGTGTTAGCCAAGCTGCAACCCTGCCCTCAGGTGTGTTTATAATCGTGGCTAATCCCAAAACGGTCTCGTATAAAGTTGAATGCCTACCTGGGTATTGAGTGTCAACCAAGCTGATGCTACCCTGGCATACCACTGAAGTTGGTGTAAGTGTCATATTAATCAGCAAATGGGTCATGGGGAGTTTGGAGTTATTACTATATTCTAGTTGCAGAGCCCGCGATAACTTGAACGCCATGTACACACGCCTAGCACAGATTTTCTAGCAATTTCTTAGTCAGTTGCGTACGCATTAGTATTAATTTGTAGCTGAGTCTCCATATATCGAGGTGAGTTAGTTTTTGTCTTAGGGGTCTTGTAGTACTCTAAGTGAATAAGTACGCTTTCCAACGTATGATTAGAAGTATAGCTGTAACATATTGCGCCCCGATAGATAAGAATCGAATTTATTCCATACGAAATCAGTCACCTTGATTGTGTTCTAACTACTACAATAATGACCTTAATTGAAGGGTCACGTGCCGGCTTCTGCCCTATGGGGCCAATGTGGTATGGGGAGATTCCATTTTCGGATTCTAGAACTTCCAGTCCTTGAGGCTTCCATACTAGCACTTCAACATTTGTATGCAAAATAGACATCGTTGGGAGTATCTAGATTTCAGACTGTGATAAGTAGGCATTGCTTACATTTTAACTCAAAGCTTGACATCCCATATGTACATTTTGTGATAGCTCTTTCAGGTGTAGAACATGAGCTGTTTTCAAGCAATTGGTGCACTAGCTTTTAGGGGCTGTCAATCATTGTTATGAAAATAATAATTACAATCTGGAGCAATCACTAAGCACAAATAATCAAGGTTGTCCTATTTAGTCTCTCACTATGGTACATGGAAGTCTTGAGAGCGATGGAGACAATACATTCGCCTCATTTTCTGTCTTCGGGTTTAAGAGGGGTTCATGTTTCGATTCAATGCCAATGATGACAAGTTAATACATGCATGAAAACTTTCATGATACCCGTGAATTTGACCAATTCTCCGTGAATGACTGGACTCACAGTGAGCCGTAACAGCTGGCGAAGTGAATGCGATTTTCTTCGACCTAAGTCTCTTTACATTGAACCTATCTTCCCACCCTTAGGGATCGACCAATAGAATGCATATGTGTGAACGCTAAATAGCCTCACTCTGATGGCCCAGAGGCTCTGGTTGGTTACCGGGACAGAGTACTAGGCGCTTATGACGTATTCAGTACATTCGACGTTTGGATTTGATATCATAATGGCCTGGGCGTTTTTGCTCGATGCACCTTGCCACAAAATCTTTGGAACAAGGAAAAATTCTATATCCATAGTTCAAACCCTTGCACAAAGAAACATCGTCATCATCTCAAATATCTCAGCGGTTCTTCCAAGCTGCATTTACGAGGTCTAGAGCGCTTTTTCGCACGCCTCACTTCGGGATAACACCTCATAAGCATCTATTTCAACCGGGATGATCGTTGACACCATGGCTCGGATTACAGATCTGCCCTGCGAGATTGTCGTTGCTGTGTATAGGCAGCTAGGGCACATTCGGTTCCTTCTCCCTTGCGTTCTCACATGCCGCCACCTTTACTACTCATATAAAGCATATCCCAGCTTGGGCATCGAATTCCTGGTGCACCAAGTTAGCAGGGATCTGCTTCCCTACTCAATTGCAGCCTATAAAGTGTCTCATTCACCCACTCCATACACACGCTTAACGATTCTAGAGCTGCTCAGAACTCTGAATCATTCTCCTCAAGTTTTGATCGACCGACTCCGTGACTATCCGCTGATAGCACTGGTAAAGATTGAACAAACCCACAATCAAGTCGAAAAGTACATAAATGTGTGTGAACCGGAAGCTTGGAGACTTACCGCACAACCAGCCATCCGACCACGCTTACGGGTTTTGACCAGAGATGGGCATAAAACTTTCCAAAGACAACAATTCTCCTTCAAACGCGCCTTCTATCGTTTCCAGTTGTACGCAAGGTTCTTTCGAGGCATCAGTGGCCGCCTGGATCAACAGATAGAGCTGTTCTTTTCCGACTACTTGCCGTCGGAGAATCGGCATCTCATTCGTATTTGCGATTATCTTGATCAACACGTCATCCAAGGTTAGTTGCATCAATCTCTTCTTTAGTCTGTGTTCAACATGCTAATATCCTCGAACTTTTAGTGGCCGAGGCAGAGGAACGTCATCAGATAGAATTTCCAGCTGGATACATGGTTTATATGGTGAATTCTTGGTTGTATGACAGAGAACATGTCAGATGGGCTATAGAGCTCCAGAAGCCACTGGGTTTCTGATGCGAACCTCGGTGGCGTAAGTGAATGATTGGGGTCTCATGAGCGAAGGAATTCTCAGCAAGGGGTAAAGGATGATGGAAAGGCTTTCGTCCGAAGTGTGAGGACTGAGCACAGCGCACTGGCGAGTGGACGAGCTGACACCAAATGAAGTAGATAAGTTATAACTTATTATCGGAAGTATTATTCACATTTAATAGACGTCGCTTTTTTTTTTTTTTTTTTTTTTTTTTTTTTTTTTTTTTTTTTTTTTTTTTTCGTTCTTAAATGTGCACGATGCTAAATCCAAATTTTAGGCTCTTGTAACAGACAAGGAGTCTTGGCCGTATAACAGCTCTCTCTAGCAAAGATGTTCGCAGGACTGAGAATTGAGGCTATTCGCAATTATCCTATGGCTCCCAGGGTCTATGATGTCCATTTGGATCCCTTCCTGGGGCTATTGGCTGATCTTGACTATATACAATCGGACCGGCCCTCGCTAACCTCCGAAATCCGTTAGTATGTCTCACATAAGGGGAGATCTGTATCGCTCCGCTTCCACCATGAACTGCATGTCTTGTTTCTATCGCAGCTCTTGAAGCCATAGAGAACTTGCATGGGCATATGAAGGTTTGTAGTATTTGAAATCATGCAGATACGGGTAGCCCCGTCATGTTGTCGCTCGACAGCAAGACCCTTACACTGGGATAAGGTGATAAGGCAGCCAAGGTCGCAATATCTCTTGGTTGTGTTGGTTCGGCGTCTTTCTTTCTATAAGCAGCGACCAATAGCAACCTGAGTGTTTTAACCAAGAATCCCGGATCTCTGCGGGTGCTAGGTGTTAGCTTCAGCCGAGAGCACCCTATCTTCACACTAAAACGGGAAGCCGGTAGCTGTTGTACAGCAGCTAACTTATAATATGCTTAGGTGAGCTAGTTGCGGATACTCGCGTCGTGGCTTTCTGAGTCCCATGGCATACAAGTAATACATGAGACAGTGTGGATTCTCATTTACCCATGGAGATATGAATGGGGAAAGTATAGACAGACTCCGACGATCAAGGCACCTTCGTGGTTACTCTTCAGCCAGCCATTGACAGCTAATGCACCACCTTAAAATGAAAATGTCACAAACTAGAGCTGTAATAGGGTAGAAGCTATTCCCAAAGTTGGAATAGTATTCCGAATCTGGATGTGTAAAAGACTCAATAGGGATAGGATCAGGGACCAACGCACCTGACGGGTTCGGTTGACAACTTGGCTGCTTGAGAATATTAACTGCAGTACCAGTGGCATTCTTGCCCTCTTGATTAGTTCTCAATCTATGACTTCGAATCAATATCCTCAGCGTTTACGGCAAATTTGATAATCTCTGAAACTTCCAACTCCCTTCTCGCGATAAGATTATCAATCATTTACACTGATCACATGAGATCAGCTTGTTGCAGGCTATGTGGAGCCTGGTCGAAGTCATCGGTGCCCCTGGAGCTTCTTTCAGCGATGGGAAGCCTCTAGATGTCGTCCGAGGGGGCGATGAAGGATCATATCGCCTGATTATCAATGATCATGGATTTTTAGACTTGACAGAGGCTGGTGATGGGAACGCGATTTATGCTAATAGTTCTATACTGATACACAATAACTTACCCAGTACGAGTGTGTGCCTGTATCTCCACGTAAATGACGGTGGTGTCTTTGAATTAATGGCATTTGCTTCCCACATAGCAGGTAGGTGTGAACCTCGCTTTATAGAATTGAGCATAGACTTCTGAGATAGCTGACAAACCGCAGAGCGGTCCTCTCCGCCATCCACCGTCCAGGGGAGACTCAAGCCGCTACCCAACGTTTCGGCAGAGGACGCCGCATTCATCGATCGAATGATGGACGGGAGGTATATCCCATACCAAAACATTCCCGAATCCCCAGGAAAGACAGTTGGCAAGATCAAGAGGCTGGGGTTGCAGTATTTCGCCTTTACACCATACAGCTTCCAGCTCGCAATGTGCGTTTACGACTGGACAACGGCGTCTTTTGCTCGCCTTGTGCTACTCAAGATATTTGAGTACACGGGCATTCATCCTCCGCCATTCCCCATCGACCGGAATAGCCTCGCCTCGCAAATCTGGACTAGTGATTGGGAATCCTACGGACCTAATGACCCAGACTACATGAGGTCCTTCATGATGAAGCCGGCGGGTTCACTAGATGACGTCAAGGCGCAACTCGACAGGATTATTAAAGACCTTCATTCCCTTAGCGATGTAGAAAACCGTCTGTTGGCTGCGGCGATACAATCGTTGCCCCGTACCTCTGTCATCCAGCATCCACAGCTCTTTAGCGGACAAGTAGACATGTCGCAATTGGGCCTTGAATACTTCGGTATCGAGTTCCTGGAGTGCCCGCTGAACCGAGGCCCAGTGGATGCGGAGCTCGTGATTGATTTCGCAGACGCTCTGAGAACCTATGTTGCTCAGGGGAAGATCATCACGACCAAGATGGTATGGAGCTTCACGGACAAGGTCGAGGATGCCATGCACTATTCAAACGGTATTGTCCTAGTTGCGAATCCTCCAGAAAACTCGGTCATATGGGATAATGCTGCGTACATAACGCCTCTCTCTGATGACCCGGAGAAGACAGAATACACTTTCATGGCCGGGACAAAGTTCGAGGTGCAGTCGGTCGACAATATTACAGTCGGTGGTAGTCCAATCTGCGTGATCAACTTGCAACCGGTGTCGGAGCCCAACACACCAACATTAGCCATATCCAAGAAGATGATCCAGCCGAGAAAACTTGGGGGAAGCCAGTTACTAGACATCTCCAAGTCTTATGTTCATAATAATCACTTGCCACATAGCTTACACAAGACAGCAGGAAGAAGATGCACCTGTGTCGCTGACCAAGAATGGGTGATAGTTTAGCTAGACATTTCATCACATAAATAACACGCTATAATAACATTCAAATGTTTTTGACAATATTTGCGTATGTGTACATCCGAAATTCTAGTTGATTTGCATCATATCAATACTACTACTTAGGCGCCAGACAAGAGCTGATCCCCGATGTATCGTGGGAATCCCTGGAAACCCAGCCAAAGCTCGCCAGTTCCTGGTGGCCCGCCGACAATCTCCTTTTCTCGGCTTTTCAGCTCATCCACGTCCCACGCAGAGAAAACTAGCTTGCCTCGGAGGAAATTTGCTTCAGGCGAGGCAATCCAGACAAGGAAATCCGCCGGTAGAGACACTAGATAGGAAGTCAATGCGTTAGCATTGTACACTTGCGAAAAACGCTCATAGTTGTTGAACAGGACAGGCTTAAGGAGGTGACTTACAATCATCAAAGCTGAAGGGCAATTTAATCGATTTGCCTAGCTGTGTTGACATTGACGTATCGAGGAACCCGGGATGCACATTGTGAAGGCGCACATGCGGGTTCTCGGTAGCGAAAGACTGTAGCAATTTGACGGCCGCCATTTTGCTGCTCACGTAGGCACCCATGCCGTTAAATGGAGGGAAGAGGATACCGGCCGTGGTGAGATTGATGAAAGTGATCTCCCTGGAATCCTTGTTGGCCAACGTGACAGCTTGCGCTACATTTAAGGTGCCAACAACAGTCGTCTTGTAGCCGTCGAGGAATAATGCCGGGTCTGCTTGGAGGAGGGGAACAACGGGAGCTAGCACTCCAGCACAATGAACAAGGATGTCGATGCCACCGAACTCGGAAGCCACGCCGTTGAAGACGCCACGCAGACCTGCTGTATCGCATAGGTCGACTTGATGAGTCTGGACTGCTAGGTCTGGAAATGCTCCCCTCACAGACTTGGCGGTTTCGTCGAGGACATCAGCGCGGCGGCCTAGAAGAATGAGCGCACGCGGTCCCGAGGCAGCGAAAGATGAAGAAGTTCCCCGACCGATCCCCCCCGATGCGCCGGTTATCACAACGACCTTTCCAGCCGTTGAGAGATTCGGTTGGCTAGGATTGATGGCAGCATAGGTGGATGAGTGTGTCACCCTTGTGTATGAAGGGATTGGTGCTGCCATGTCGAGTTCACGGAGAGCTAACAATTGTCAGCAGAGAATAGGCGGCCCGAGTGAATGAGTATGAAGTATAATATTCGTTATGATTACATCTAGCATTGGGAGCAGTGAGGCCGTAGCTCTTTTATATTCGTGACTGTATATCAGGTTAACTGGATTACGCCGCACCGGCACCTAACCGCCACATACCTACTGACACTCGCCGCTTAGAGCTGGGCTGACTTATGTCCCTATCTAAGCAGCTTCAGCTCTAGCTAGCTGACAGCTTATGACTCTAGAACCAGCAGGGTAATGAGCCAATGCATTTTCAACTCAAAGTCAAGATGGAGAATTAGCGCGGCTGCCTGGTTCGCACCCTTAGAAGCCGCAAGTTGTATCCATTCCAACAAAGAACACCACGACGCTATAAGTGTGACTCATTGTGTCGGTAATCAAGCTCAATTCTAGCTGCCTGCCGTTTCTAGTCGCTGAGACTCCGTTTTGCGATGAACAATTTCACTTCACCGCCGCGCCGCGAGCCGAAGCGGAACCGTCAAACTCGGACCTCGCTGTTCCTTCTTGTCCGAGCCCCCTCCACGCCCGGCCCACTTGCTGATCCTTCGATCGGTGCCGTACACTAGGGAGTAACTAACGCTAGTTTTAGACTCTAGAGACAATGAGACAGTCTCTATGTATCTAGCTTTGTTTTACACGCGTCAAGAGTAAAGAGGAGTTCACCAAGACCACCAAACCGGATTTCAAGGCTCCTAGCACTGATATTGATTTCCGATCTGAATGACGCCATTCTAACTGATCCAGACTGGCAAGAGTCCTTCTACGACGACAAATCTCAGCATCTCAGCTGTGATAAGAAGGCTTACGAGTCATCCTGCTTTATGCATGGAAAAAAAAAGGCAGGCAGGTGGGCAAAGGAGTTTGTGCTACGTTGGCCAGGTTCGAATGCAACATCACACTTGTGCATCTCTGGATTTTTGCAATACTCTTGTAGTATAAAATAACGTCAGAACCATATTTAGCTGGCTAACTGAAGTCTTACGATTTGCGTGATGAGAAACAGGTTGAATGGCACTTGTTTTCCTCACCATTGTCTATTGTGATATTGTCAACATCGGTTGCTCCTCAACCGATGTGTGCTATTGTAAACAAATAGAGGGGTCCTCTGTGGCAACACAAAGAACTTGAAGCAGTGATTGTATCGTCAACTCGCTGACACTTCTTCCTTCCTTCACATTGCCATACACTCCTTCTCTATGCTTTAAACTACCTACAGTTTTGAATGCTTCAAAATGGTCCTATCGAGAGTAAGAGCGCCACGTCAGTCTGATTCCGTCTCAGATTTCTTAAAGGATCGACCACTCGCGGCTCGTTTTTGCGCTGCTCTACTTGGGCCGCATCGTCGTGAAGATCCTGACAGCCTAGAAGTAGCTAAGTTAGCTGCTCAAAAGAGGTTGAGGCAGCTCTTTCGTATCTGCTTACGGTCCCGCAACTTTTACTTCGCCACTCGTGGTAGGGATGTATTCTGGCAGTTTGTGAGTGAGCATTGGGACGTCTTCGAGTATTTAGCCCCAGCGAATGTCACCGCTCTTGTCCGAGCCAACGAGGAAATACGGGACGACGGCCTCGAAGGCGTCCTAAAGGGTAGATTGAAGAAGTTGGTAGATAGATTCACGATGATGCACAAAGAAATGCTCTCACGAGACCGCAAACGCCTTTACCGGATCACACTTCGTCCTTCCACTATCTTATCCACCGCCCGTAGAAACAGTAGGCAAGTCAGCAGTTATTTGCTCTCTGCGGCCTCCATTCCGTGGCCGCCCACACACTTTACGAAGCAAGAGATTGTCTGGTTCTGTCACGATCACGTACTATCCCAAGTCTACGGCCTAACCTCAGATACGAAACTCACGAAAGCCGCGCAATTTCCTCAGATACCCGATGCGTATACACATCCTCTTGATGTCCGCCTCTTTCTGGCGTTCACCGCTCTCATAAACATTAGCAGCAATCGCAACATTTCCATCTGTATGACGCCAATAACATTCTGGGATGACGACGAGCGCAGCGATTGGTTTCACGCAACTGCTGGGGCCTCGAAGTTCTGCTGGACAACATGGGACTTCTGCCAATGGGCAAAGAAAGAGTTCGAAAGGGGACGTGAAACAGTGATTGGCCTTTGCCACTTTGTGAGTTTGGCATTTCGCCCTTTGACGTACCTTATTACTAACCTTCGCAATGTCCGTAGCACTGCGTCGCAGAAGACAAGCCGTGGAAATGGTTTGAGAAGGCTTTCAATCCTACCAAACATGGCCGACGAGATGTTTTTTAGTCGAAGACAGCTCCTCGGTACAGTGTCGGAGTTTTGATTCGAAAGTTGGAAAAGGACAGTTACGAGTTTATCATGGAAGATGCTCACCATCACCGCGTGTCTGCCAATCCTGGCTACTACAGAGATAAATATGGCGTCTATCCTGATACAGGCATGGACTTCAAAGCTGCCCTTCTTGAGGATGTCGCTGCCCATTTCAACATTACTTCGTTCTGGCGCGGCGGGGATGTGCCAAATGCATTTGCCGACTTCGGTATTGGCCTTCGCGACACGGTGTCCACGTCTTGTAGCTTCGTCTTCTTGGCGGCTCAAGGGAAGGTGCCGACGCAGAACTTGTATCAAGATGGTTGGAACTTTTCGCGAGGCATCCCGAAGAAAATGCAATACTGGGAGGAACAAGATGAGGAATTGACGGAGGAAGAGTTGACCGACTGGGACGATGATGATAGTGACTATCGTGATGACTAAATAACTTAAGTCCAATTGATTCTCATGGTCAGGTACCAAAGTAAATATATCAAAAGAAACGGATCGTACGCGAAAACATTATAACCTCACGGGTGATGAAATACGGACAACTAGACATAGCTTCCTAAGTGGCAGTCAATTCACATTAATTCTCATATCACCGTAGTATCAATCAGTGATAAAGTGTCAGGAACCTTGTTCTTAACGTATTTGGTAACACTTGTTATTGCGTGAGAGCTGTCTCCCGAGCTCAAGTGCACTCGCACTCAGTAAACTTGTTGTCCAGTCCTCATTGCAGCAGCGGAGGGCTCTGAAGTGACCTCTAACCCATGAAAAGAAACCAATACGCGACTATCAAACAACTCCAAGCCTGTATGCCCCAATTACCGGTCACTCCACCATGCATCTGCCAGCAAGCCACTAGGCCCCCCAACACAGTCCTTGAAGGCAATGAGAGCTACAACAAAAGAGACTCTCTGTCGCACTCTGTCGAAATGACGCCGTTAGGCGTGCAAGTCTAACGGTAGTATATATTCTCCACCAGAATGCGAACGTCTCTGTACATCACCATAGTTTAAGCACGAAGGCTTTGAAAAGATATTGTGCAACCGAAAACCTCGCACTGTATCCTCTACAAGAGCAGCCCCGGCGACGTCACATCCGTATCTCGCGCAGTTAATGCATAATCGGAACCCTGCTGTTGTCAAGAGGCAGCGGGGTAGATCCGGGAGGTCGATTATCTCTGGCCAGTGCGCTCTCAACGCCAGGGAATCGGGGGTTCGGCTCCAAGTTGCAACCAGATCTAAGTATGGTTCGTTGCTCTTGTGTGAGGAAGCAAAGTCCGATAAGAAGCTGGATCGTGAATGCTGAGCGGTTCCCGGCATTGTATCCAACCTCGTTACCACTATGGCACCCGACTGTCAGTGGCTTCCAAATTCGAAAACAGGCTGGGAGGGCGCTAGAGATATGGGAGAACCCGGAAATCCATTTACATTACAAGGCCACACATACTAACTTGGCCATTGACAACAAGAGGAGGAGGAGGAAGTTTTCGGGCTAGGTACTTACTGAGCTCGGTGCTGAATTCCGAAGACATCCAGACAGGTAAGGAAGGACGGATTCGGCAGACGCTCTCTGACAGTCGGATGAAGTCTAACGTCCCACTGCTGAAGGGCTTCATTGTTCTTATACCAAGATGTGGCCTTGATCTGGGCATGGTGGTTCTCCTCTCCCCAGCCAACCAGGACGACAACACGACGCTCTCCTCTCTGAATCAGGGGGTTGGTAATGCCTTGAATAGAAGCTTTCCAAAAGCCTTCTTCAAGAGTCCTTTGAATTTGCCCCCGAGGGATCTGGTTTGACTTGCGGTAGGTGAAGTGATAGGGTTGGGCAGTATGGGCTGGCGACTCACAAGTTCCAGGGTGATGGTCTGCCGTATCTGCTACGATGAAATGGGAGCTAAGCGCCAGTCTCGTGATGTTCTCACCACGAGGGCCTGGAGCCACACACCCGGGGATGTTGTTCTTTCGAGCTCCCTTCGCTCCATGAAAGATGGTGGCGGTATCATAAATGGTGTATCCAATTTCGGTGACTGAATCGGCATTCTTGCAGTCAGTGTTAACACTGACACTGAAAAGAACAATTGCTGTATCATTAGGGATTCGCGGCTGATTTGGGAGTTTAGGCCAGAATTGCTGAGATTCCTTCGATGGCTTCATCTCTAGAAAGGCATCCGCTGGGGGGATAACTGGAATTGACTGGAGTCAGTAATCACCCTTTGAGGTGAAGATACATGACTTTTGTGATATTAATATGATCTGATGAAACTCTTGTCTTTGTAACAGGATCTTTGCATTTCTACAAGCAGCTATGTGAGACATAAAACGATTCTAAGAGAAGCATACCATAAAGAGGAGAACCTCGACTGTCAATTTGCGTCTCTCCATCTTCATCTTTGAGAAAGCTACCATGCCCAAGTAGCACAGGAAGAAAGTCTGGGGGAGGAAGAGACATGTTAATAGATCTGAGAGTGAAAAAGGAGAATAGGGGCGGACGGATGAAACGAAGAGGGGAGAGAATCGGCGCCAAAAGGAGGCTAGGAAATGAAACTCAATTCTCAGAGTTTTATGAGGTTGAAAGAAAGAAGAAAGAGGGAAAAAGTTCAGGAACCCAGAAAATTTCATGCTGTCAATAAATACACGATGGTACAATGGTACCAGCTATACGCCCCCCAGGATACCATTGTGGCAAAGACAAACATCATTCACTGCACCCCAACTGTGAGCCGGGACTACTTCGTAGGAAGCAATTGCAGTAGCCTGGTGCACTCAATAAATCAAAAAAGAAAACAACAGTGCAAATGTCAGTGCACAGAGGTTTGAATTAACTATGGAGCATGAACTTGAACTTTAGAGAATACAGCCTGCAACTGCACAGTACCGTGCAGCAAGTATCATCTTGATAGACAGATCTGAGACTGCAGTACATCTTTTTAGGAGTCTATGCATGGTACAGGTGAGTTGTATCATTCAGAATTGATTACATCTGCCAGATACCACTGGTACTTTGTTGACCTAAGTAGGAGACTTTGCAATCAAACAAAGATAATAAAGATACCTAGGTACTTCAAAAGTGAAGTTTCTAGAAACTTAGTTCTTCCACTGGCCTGAAGGAGACACAACCTATCTGTATTGCCCAGGCAACCTTCATAACATGCCGCCTATCTCATCTATTTGATGTGACCTATGGCTATGAAGGGGACCAAGATCAGACAAATGTCTCAAACATATACTTCTGGCAATTGATGAATTCGTTTCCACCAGTATACAGTCATTGATATATGCTACAATATAAGGACAATGCAATAATCTGTGAAGTAAAGACTTGTGAGGAACATCTGAAGCCATGTTAAAAGTCTCCCCCAATCAAATTGCATTGGGAATTGAGGACATAGGCACAACAGTCATGAGTATATTAGAAATCTGGAAGGGATTACATGCATGTGATGCTCAGTTTTGGGTTAGCAGTGAAAAGCTTCAGGGATAATTATGCAGAGGTTCGGATATGGCTTCTCATCCTTGAAGTGCGCTGACTTGGTCGCTAGAGTCGTTGAGATAGCGTGTAAACTTCAAGGTCGGAAGTCGTGATGAACGGAGGCAGTGGCTCTTAGATATGAACAATAATGAATAGTTCTCATCAATACACCGCGGAGCCCATCAGTGGCTAAGCGAAGATGTTTCGATGTACAGCCTTTACATGGACAATCCGAACAGCAATTCGGCAATTTACTAGTGTGCCCTCGAAAAGCTGTTGACGAAACACAAACATATCATGTCATAAGAACAGAGTCGAACGCGATATCGCCTTTGTCATGAACAGTAGTTACATGCTCTTGATGGATACCAAGTATCAGCATACTAGGATGAGAAAGGGGCATCATAGGTTCCTGCCTCTCCTCGCCACGCTGCGAAACTACACAGACCATCTGATTCTAAATCACTCACAGAAGAAGCTAGATACCTAAAGAAGAAGAGAAGAAAGTGGGAAAAAGAGACAAAAGACAAAATTCCAAACGTACAACACCGAGGATTCGCTGGTCGTCACCGACCCAACTACTAATTCGGCGCTCACTAGCTTATCTAAGGGGGAGCGGACGGGACCCCGAGTTCTCCAGCGGCTATGGTCGTACGTGCCAGTTCATTCCTGTGTAGTAACATATATCCTTGTGTCCTTGGGTCCAGGTATTGTAGAGTTCAATGATGTATCCCTATTCACACACCAGACTCTGCCAACTTTTGCAATTATACAAAATTCTCCCTGGACTTTGACATCATGCCCCAAACCCCAAGCCTATCCTGCTACATTGGGTCAGAGACGCGGGAATTGCTGACCCCATGTCATGATGCGGTGCCCATCCACACATCTGGGGATGCTCTTGGACCTCACTCGATCGCGTCCAGGGAAGCCCACCAAGTTCCATGGCTTTACGTTCGGGAGTGAGAGCATTTTATTTCGCTATGGCTCGGCACGTGTCTTCGGAGCAGAGATATAGTAGATACTTGGAAGCGTCGTCGGCGTCGTGGACGACGGCACCAATATCCTCGGCAGCTATATCCGTGACGCTCGCGAAAGTAGCATCTCCGCCAGGGCCTTCAGGTCTATCAGCAGTAATTTCTATACTGGTATAGTTTTCAAAGCTGTTTTACTCGCCGGTGATGACAATCTGTTGCTTGCTTTCCCTTTATTCATTGCCATCAACGTAAGCTTTGTTGCGATACCGATGAGCTTCAGGGTGTTCAAGGCTAGACTAGAGAACCATGCATGTAAACTTGTCAATCATTTAGAGATAGAGGCTCTAGTCGCTTTCTTCAAAGTCATCCACAGTGATGGATGTGATTGTTGTCTAGCAGTGATGCGTGGTTTGTGCTCGGGGTCTCGAAGCTTGATATTCAGGTTACTGTGCGCGTTGATGAGATGATAGATATATGCTTGTTACGCGTACCTTCTACGAAGTATAGCATATCAATTTGACGCTCATTTTGTTCATCACAGTCTGGAGGTTACGAAACACCCCCGTCGTCGTCGCAAGTGAAGTATCGTCGTACCCCGCCTCCAACTTGAATCCATCATTCCCCGCAGAGCTATGACATAACCCCTGCTTCTCCACGCCTTGGCGCGGCGCGGCGCGGTTTCCAATCAACCCACGCGTCTCGGCACTCAGGCGCATCACGATGGAGCTTCTGTAGCAAACAACAGTATCGTTTCACTTAACCTAACGGTCTTTCTCGGCTTAGAATCGAGCCGGCGCCCACGAGTATGTCCTGATGCCGGAAAGCCTAGCTCATCCTAGATATCCGGTAGGCTAGAGATCTGAGGCATAGACGCGCGTCTGGCCTTTGAACCCTGGTAAGCGTTACGGTCATTCTCCAGCAGAACAGTGAGTTTTATGCCTTTGACAATCTCTCCTGTCCACGGCGTCTTGCCGTCTGGCGAAGTACTCCACGGGGGCGATGGCGTAATGTGACTTAGAGTTCAAAATGAATCTAATGGTGACCTTACATCCGTGACTCTCAACTTACAAGCGCAACGAAATCGAGCGCATGGCGGCCAAGCTCGAGCTTTCCGAGGCTGTCAACGTACCCAGTTGCGATAGAGTGAATGACCTTCCGTCCCCATGGCGGTGACGGTGTGCTGTGGGGGAAATTATCACCCAGAGGACGCGCAGGCCGAGTTCGTGCACCAGCTCTTGGACAGTGAGACCGTCGCCACGAGAACGAACGAAGCCGATTTCCTCCGAGACCAAGCGGGTTTCATACCCGGTACTCTTTCGATGCTGCCGTCCACCTGTCTTGTCGACTTACCTGTTAATAATAGGGGTACAAGCCTATCAAGGGCTTCTATGAGCCTGTGCGTGGCTCGGCGCTAGACATCGCCGGGCAGGGCGTTGCGAACCCGATTGGTGCCATTCTGAGCGTGGCGCTCCTGCTGCAGTACAGTCTCGGAACAGAGGAAGACGCTCAGTCTATTTAGAATGCTGATGATAACACATTACTGTAGACGGCGGGCTGAAAACTAAAGATGTGAGTGGCTCTGTCTGAACGGAGGAGATGGGAGCTGCTATTAGGGAAGATATGAAAAAGGTATTGGTGTAATCGAGATGAGTCATGCATTACATTTTTGAGCTCGCTTAGACTATATATTCCTTTCATGAAGATTATTTGAGTGTCAGGGAGCAATCGCACTTTTTTTTTGTAAGTATGAGTGCCATGAAATCCAGACATCCAGAATTCTTATTGACGATCCTATACGTGATCGAACCACGAACCCAATTCCACGTTGAAACAATATAAGAAAATGACAAATTAAAAAAAGAGTATTTTTTTCTCTTTCTAGTTAAGTACAGGATTCTCCATCTCTCATACAGACCACGTGGTCTGACGCATGAACTCGCAGAGGGCTTCAAGTTGCGTTATCAGGGCCTATGCATCGAACAGAGGCGCCCAGAAATGCACTATCTGGAACACAGCTTCATGTCGTGCACGCAACTCATCATCAGATGACCCGGCAGGACGCCCCCGTTATCAAGTAAAATTTACTTCAACCTAGACTTCTCCTGGCCTACTCATGCCTCTGCTGATATAATGAAGGCCGCAAGCTTCTTAGTCGTTTCTTATTCGCGTGTATGGCCGATGGTTCACTTGACTAAGATGGACAGGGTCCCTGCGGGCCGTAAACCGGCAGGAATGAGGCGGCTCTACTAATGCATCCGGGGAAGGTAGCGGTGAGCCTCCGCTCTCTTTCTTGGAAGGGATACTCGATAAGACCTACATACGGGACCACCCGGCTGGCACCCTTCCTGACTCTATTCGACTCTATCCACGTCTCCTACGATATCGTCATACTTATTATCCAGGTTACTCAGCATGGCACACCCGTCTATCAGCTTTATGCAGTTTGGATCACCATTAACCTTACCCCGGCTCATCCCTGGCCTATCCCTTGCCTTTTCGGTACCGATCTAACGTTCCTAGTCCCTGGACACACAGGCAAAAGCGCTGACGATCCCGCCATCTCTCCGCAAAACCGGGGAAATTTCGTGGGGTTACCTTCTGGGGTTCTCCGCAGCGGGGGCGAACGACAAGCCGTATTGTATGGTCTACAAGCCTCATCCGGGATCGTAATCAGCTCATCACCGTTGCACAAGAGCTTGTTCATTTAATATCGAGTGGTAGTATCTTCACCTGGACTCCCAGCCGTCATTCATTCCCTCTTTTCTTATATTGCAACTTGTGTGTGTGACAAGATGGATTCTTCTCACTCTACCCACTCGGCTGACACTAAGACCGTCGATGCTACGCATCTTGAGAATGCGGGCGTTAAAGGCAAGGGTGGACTTGATGAGAGAAATGTATGAATTCTACGGAATGGACAGTATAATGTCGCAATGCTGATCCTGGCTGGAATTGGTAGTTGCCGACTTACCAAGATGCGAAAACGCGACGAATCCTTCGAAAAGTCGACTTTCGCTTGATTCCAATGTTGACACTTCTCTGTAAGTTACCTTGCCTTACGACAGCAACAGTTTACGTTATCATCATCTGCTAATATCCTGTATTTAGATGTGCTTGCATTTTTGGATCGTGGAAATGTAGGCTGATATTATTTCCTAATCTAGATGCTTATGCCTCATGTATCTCATACTCATCGGTATCGGGCCTTGACCTGACAATTCATGAAAATTTCAGATTGGAAATGCCAAAGTCGCGGGGATGAATGAAGATCTAGGTATGCTCTTAAATTTCCTTATAAGTTCACTGACTGACAGCCACACAGGGTTGACCGGAACGCAATACAATTTAGCATTAACAGTATTCTTTTTTCCCTACGCAATATTCGAGGTTCGTCATGGAATCCCACCAAGTGATCCGAAAACTCACATGGTATCTGTAGGTCCCAAGCAACATTGTGCTTAAACTCCTTCGTCCTAGCATATGGATGTGCATACTCATGCTCTCATGGGGGTTGGTCATGACATTTCAAGGGCTAGTCAAGAACTACGAACAGCTGGTTGTCACTCGAGTCCTTCTTGGAGTAACGGAATCTGGTTTCTTCCCTGCCGCTACATATCTCCTGACAATGTACGCAATCTTTGAACCTGTATGACCAGACAACACACATAGTGATCTGGTGAGGACTAATTAACATCTTGTCTCTTCATAGTTGGTACTGCCGCTTCGAGATCCAGACCCGAATCGCCGTCTTCTTCTCCGCCGCGTCCCTCGCAGGCGCCTTCTCGGGTTTACTAGCGTTTGCGATTGAGAAGCTTAACGGCAAAGGAGGTCTAGAAGGATGGCGCTGGATCTTCATTCTCGAAGGCATCGCTACCGTCATTGTCGGGCTCACTCTCCCATGGACACTGCCAGACAGCCCTGCCATGGCCGGCTTCCTCACTCAAGACGAGAAAGAGCACCTGCAGCGCCGGCTGGAGCAAGACGCCGGAACCTCCTCGGGACAAGTGCAGATTGGCGAGAAGTTCCAGTGGAAGTTCCTAAGGGCTGCTCTAACTGAATGGAGATTGTATTTCGGAGTCATCGCATACTGGGGGAACAGCATTTGTCTCTACGGGTTCACGTATAGTGCCCCCAGCATCATCCTGCAGCTGGGGTACTCTGCCGCCAATGCCCAGCTACTCAGTAAATCCACCCCGTTCGCAGACCTAAAGATATAGGCACGGCTAATTCAACTTTCTAGCTATCCCTATTTACATCGTCGGGGTGCTTAGCGTCCTATTATTTGCCCGCATAGCTGACAAGAGACGTTCTCGCTGGATCTTCATCGTAACACCATTCTGCATCTCGGCCATCGGCTTCATCGCCTTACTCAGCATCCCACACCCAAAATACCCCGGGCTAACATACGCTTTCCTATTCACCATCCCGGCTGGCGTCTATCCGCCCCTCGTCGGCATCTTGGCCTGGGTCGGGAACAATCTCGCGCCATCCTGGAAGCGGGCCGTCGGAATGGCTCTGCTCATTTCCCTCGGCAATCTAGGCGGAGCCATCGGTTCAAACATCTTTCTGGAGGGTCAGAAGCCTCATTACCCCCTGGGCTACGGATTCTCACTTGGAATTGTTGTCGGGGCTATTGGTTGCGCGCTAACTCTGGCGTATTCTTGGGACCGCGCAAATAAGAAACGAGACGCTGTTTCTGAGAATGAGGTTCGTGCTAGGCATTCCGAGCAAGAGCTATTGGATATGGGTGACAGATCACCACTATATCGATATGTAGTTTAAAGTGGTTTCGGGTGGTTATTGACTGTTAAGCTTAGACTGCACAAGTAGTTATGCAGGCTTGCTTCGCTGACCTTTGGATATAGTTTATGGTTAACGTTTTTACTAGCATGTATCTCCTTCAAATGGAAAAGTTAATGTACGACGAAGGTTCTGTAAGCATCTATTATACGGAACTTATCATCTATGTTACATGGGGCTTAGTTACGTTTGATTTATTACCTCGGGTTTTGCCACGATCACAGATCTCATGACCGAGTATGACAGCCGTAACCTATAGTCGCCATCAAGCTGGGGAAATGCGGATGGACATGCGCTTACATGCAATAGTCTAGAAAACCCATAAAGCACTCGCCATACCCATAATAGACTGCATTCTTCAAAGGCGCTATGAGTTTAGGACGCTAAATCTACAAAGTTGCCAAACTCCGATGACGATGCAATGTTAGATCTGGATATTAAACTTCCTTCCATCTATTCCTGTAGCTTGAGAGGCGGCGCATCTCCCATGACTGCTTCCGGAACAGGCGTGTTGGCAGGACTATTGGCTGGCTGCGGGGGATTGTCGACGGCGATACTATCGATCACCTCAAGCTCCTGCGAGGCGTTGATCATATCAACATCCCCATCTGCCGCCTGCGCTCGCTGAGGGACTTCAACTAGGCTATCCTTCAGCTCATCCCTCACATAGGCCACATAGTATGGATCCCCACTATTGTTAAGTTCATCCACGACTTGTTCCGAATCTCTTTCATCCTTGGTTACAAGGCTGTCATTGTACTTATACCAGACTTGGTTTTTGAAGTCTCTAACCCACACCCAATAATGTCCAGCACTCATACCACCTCCATGACAAATGATGGCATGCAGCTGGAATTTGTGTTGCTTCATGGAATCAAATGCGTGGGCTTCTTCTTCACGTAGTATACTGGACGTGGCGTAATCCGCGTCATCCATCCTTCGACCAGCTTCCCACAAGGCATCAGCAAAGCTTAAGTTGCCAATATCTTCAGCGTTGGAGGTCGACGTCTCTTCGGAAGGCTTTGCTTCAATTGATGGACCAGGATCACCTGTCTCAGGAGCAGGCTTAGTTACCCGTGGGATATCCCGCCATAGCTCGCTATTCAGGTCAATTGTATCTTGGTATACAGGTTGGGTTTTCTCTCTTGCTTGAACATCTGCGTATTTATTCCAGCCCTGTGCTTCCGGGGATACGAGAACTGTCTCAGTACAATCTAAAGCTCTCGAATCGAGTTCCTTGATCCGTTCCTGGATTGCCCATACTCGCCTACGGGTTCTCCATAGGTCGGACCCTGGCGCCGTTTCCATATATCGGTCCATATAGAGTTGCTCAGGTATTATGACTGGGTTCTTGTTCTTGACCCCCGAAGCGTCCGTTCGCTGAATACATATGTGGACGATAGGGGGTAGTTTGCGTATGGTAGTATAGCGAGCAAGACCACCATCGGAGAGGAGCTCATAAGAAAAGTATCGGTCAAGTGCTTCATATAAAGTGTTCTTGGTTTTGAGTTCCTTGTTGGGATGAGGGAACGCAGTGATCCACCTCTCAGGGACAACTTCTTCGTTAAGTATATCTTCGTCTGTGGATGGTATATCGATGAGCGGCGCATCTCTAGCCGTTGTTTTAATTGTCGAGTTGACAATAGTGGTGAAGAAAAGTTCAGTGATTTTGTCCGCCTGGAGGTTGGGTTTACCATCCATTGGGCCATTAGGGTGAATTGCACGCATTAGATGCTCCAAGATGTTTCCAATAATCTCTTCCACATCTTGTTGTGAGGTGCCGGATCTGTCAGACCGCTCAAGGCGCTCAGAGATCTGGGAAATCTTCTGATCTAGAGACAAGGGCAATGGGGGCTCCTCCATGACCACGTCTTCTATATGTTCGACTGTATCCGAGAGTGCCCTGTCCTCGGGAGATAAATCCCTAGTGTGACCAGTAGCAGCAGAAGTGACGTTACTGGCAAGCTCCTTGGCCGGAGTTTCGGTCTCCGCATCTTCCATCTCATTTACGAGTGTTTGTGAACTAACGGAGCTAGCGGTGTCACGGTGTTCGCGAATGGGCTCAACGGTAACGTTCACTGTGTCAAGGTCTTTATTTGGGGAAGAGGGTGGAATTGGAGAAGGACGTGCTGGAAGGGGCGGCGGTTGGTTCTGATCTTGCGAAGTGAGAATTTCCTTGGCAGATGAAAGTGCAGTATTGGCAAGCTTTTGTGAGGGACTAGCGGAGGCGCCTGTTGTAGTCTGTAGCTCCAAGAACAGACGGCTAAGTTCTTCAATGACTTTTAAGAATTAGCAACCCTGTATTCCTTCCTTGGTGAAGGGTTCACTCACATTGACGAGCTACAATGGCCTCCTCCAAAGTAACTCGTGTACCATTGCCACCGGTCCATCGGTTACTGACCGACGTATCGTCGAGCCCAAGTTGAATTTGATCGTGATTGAGAACCATCTCCCGAACAGGCTTGACATTATAAAAGTACTGCAGTAAACTGTTCAAATAGCAGGTGTTGCCAATATTCTTCAAGCCTGGAGGGGTACTAAATGAGACCGCTGGGTCTGTGATTGACGAAGGCTCTCCATTTGCGTTACCTTTCTGTCTAGATGCAATACCTCCTGTTTCTCGAAGAAAATCCGCCGCCTCTTTTAGACTTTGTGCCTCGCCATGTTGGTCTTGCTGAAATTTAAGGTCGCTTAATACCTCAAGAGCCTCGACGACCCGTTCTCGGTCTACCAGCTCGTCCTATACGACGAACAAATTAGTAAACATCCCAGTGCGCGAGGAGTGAGCGAAAGGCGTACTACGTTAGCAGCGAATTCCCGGATCATATCTGCAGTGAACGACGCGTCTACTTTCAATAGACGACTGGCAGACCTGATGCTCATTCGTCTGCTCTTCGGGCCAGTTGAAGATGCGGCAGTAGCCAAAGAGTCACCTCGAGCAACGTCACCCTGCAAGTCGGCCCCTAAATAATTACTGATAATTTCGAGGTGCCGAAAAATATCATGTTTTAATGGACGAGTCGAATTGGATTCTAGTAAGTCGCTAACCGCTTTCGAGATGGTGTCTTTGTCTTCCGTGTAGGTAGGGTTCTCGAAGAAGTAGTCGAACGCGGCTTTGACTTCGGGGTCAAGTGAAGGCCTCTGGTCAAACTGGGATCTATAAATAATGATGTTTAATGAAGCTTCTTCATTGCGTTCGCTGATACAACGAAGCCCGGCGTCTAGAAATAAATCCCGCCGGGAAGGGCATATATCAGCTAGAAGAATCGCGGCCCAACTGAACCACTGAGGGGGGAATTCCTTTAAGCACCCTATTTCCACTAGGTCATCCTCCAAAATCCCGTCCGCAGAGACTAAACTGACACCAGGACGAGCCGCATGAGCCGCATAGCCTGGAAAGGCATCCATCAGCTTCAACCAAGCTGGGGTCGTATTCGCTCCAGGGACCAAAGATCGCAACTCTTCTAAAGTGTCCTCCAAATGGGCTCGTCTTGTGTTCACTGGCGTAGGGCTGCCCGTGATGATCGGTTCAGGCTCGGTGATATACCAACATTCTTCATCATCCTCGTCCTTTCTTTCCTCGAACCCTAAATACCGAAGAATATCATCGAGATCGTTGCCGAACGAAACACGAAATCGCTTATTACGCTTCTTAATTTTTAAAACCTGCCCACTAGGCTTCTTGAGACGATCCTCGATGTATTGGGCCAGTGTTGTTACGGTGGAAGATCCACCAAACCAAGCCGCGGGAAAATCGGCAAATCTGTCAGGGTCTTCGTTTCTTGCTAGTTGTAAATTTCGAAGAATTCTCTCTTCGTCTCTCATCAAATCAATCTGCCAAGTATGGAATTTTGGCGGTATCACCGATATTGTGACCATGTATAAACAGTCTTTTGCAGCACAAGTGAATTCTCTTGCCACGTCTTTGCTATCTTCCGACTCAGCAGGGGAGGGAATGAGCATATGGATGGGGTGCTTTTCGTCCAAGCCTCTAGCACCAGTCTTGTAAGTGTGTACGTGAAAATGATACCTAGACTCGGCACATAGGAGGGATAGAAAAGATTGATCACTAGTCTCATATGTTTGGTCGGGAAGGAGAAGCATAGTATGACTGGAACAGCCTGGGTCGGTAGGATAACACAACTCAGGCAGTCGTAACTCAAGAAAGCGACGAAGGAACATCGGTGACGAATATGCTACAATGAGTTAATGGATGAGTTCTAGCATAGTGACCCTAAGTTGGAAAGAAACGAGGTGACCACTCACCATGGGAGTCGGCTGTCGCGCGGAAGGCAGCTATAGCCTTATCCTGTTTAGCCCGCCGATATGATATATTTTCCATTTCGCCAGATGGTGACTCGGGCGGGGAAAGCGTAGCCATTTTGGAGACTGCAGCCTTGGCTGGGATCTACGGTGGCTGTATGAACAGGAACGGCGACAGACCGTGGTCCTGATATCAATGAGATCGATTGTGCAGAGATTCTGGAGAATGTCGAGCGTGAGAGAGCAGCATGCAACTTCTCATCATAGCACTCAGCAAGGATCTGTCTATGTACAACAGAGGAGTTCTACAACCATAGCTTCACCAGGTACCTAGTGCAAACAGTTAGCAGCTACACCTGATGAGGGTTGAGACGTAGTTAGGCCAACAAGTTGACAAGAAATGCGAGTAGTGGATGTAAGCCTCCAAAAATTATTTTAAAATGCTGTCTTGAGAAGAACAATGCCGCCTGGGGGAGAGTGAGAAACAGACATGACTTGGCGTCTCATAGAGCTATGAATGTAGGCAAGATAGGAGATGGCTGTCTAGTACCGCAAAGCAGAATGAGAAATGAATGAATGGAACCTGCGGGAACCAGTGCTCATGTGTGCTTGAGTGATGTGTTGACTAGGTATGGATGAAACCAAACATGGCCATAGCAAACATAAGTGACACACAAGAGTTTTGACGTTTTGCAAGGCGAACAATCAAGCAACCTTAGATCGAAAGTGGTGTATGAGATGATAGGAACCAGCTACAAACCAGAGAGCCCACTGGGTGCTGGAAAGGCAAGAGCTAGACCAACACACAAGAGCAATATTTGAGAACCTGACCTGGTGCTGGTACAGCGTTGATATCTCGTGTAAGAGACGCGTCGTTAGAACTTACTCTATGACAAAATGGTGGCTGCTATGACAATGGATCGGGTCGTGGCTTGGCGAGGGCGTCGCGGCTCGAAACAGCGCCGAATCAGAAAAAGAGAAGCCAGGCCAGGACAGCAGCTGGGAAATAGAACCGCTTCAAAAGCGCGGGTTTCAGGAGTAGGAGGCTGGGTAGTCTGTGGGAGAGCACATGTTGGGATGAGATGCTGTCAAGAGGCTATCAAGAGATGAGAGAGCCGAGAGTTTTGCTGCTCGCTGGATGACTTGATCCTGAATCTGATCCCGAATGTGATCTTCTACTTAACCATGGAGGCCAGAAGCTATGGAGGCCTACAGGGCTTTGCTTGGCTGTGAGAGGAGTGAGCTGGTGCCAGGCAACGCAATAATACCAAGCCAGAGGGATAGGTAAGTAGCACTGTAGCGTCTACGTCAGTGCCTAAGCTTATGTAAGTACCAAGGTACCTACTTATGAGGTACATATGTAGGTACTGACTGCCGGTGTTGTCTAGACACTTTACCTTCGCCTCGGTGTTGACGTATAGAGTTCTAATTGTTGCGTATACCACTATACATACCTACATAAGTATGTAGCGGGTTCCATAGCTAAATACAGAAATTACTTGCCTTCGAGGATACCTCCAGGGCTCTCTAAGTAGACACCTCTTACAGTGGCAGGTACCTCGAACCGCCTCCATCCATTCTCATCCACTGCCAGCGAATTAGGTACTTACCTAGGTACTTAGGTACTCCCCCACTGGATACCTAATCATCTTCGGCCAATCAAAGCTGCAACGGACCAAAGGTAAGTCCAGCTCCGACGAGTGGGGGCTGCACCCACCTCCGCATCAGCCAATAGGGAAAACCACGGGTGGTCATGGCCTTGGGGCCTCGAATCAGAGTGATTCAATTGACGTTGACAAGAGCTCCGACCTCTCCACCGTAGCTGCTGGGCTTGCTATCAACCTCTGCCAACCTTCGTTACGAACCTTTACCAACCTCCAACTGCGACCGTCCCCGGCTGGCTCAAGATGGCGAACCCTCACCCCATCCAGCGACTGGCCGAGGACCGACCCTTTCACCAGAAAGATTCCATCAAGTCCGGTCTCCACGGCGCCGTGGTAGGTGGTGGAGCTGGTCTCTTCGCCTCCGCCGTGCAGAATTCGCTCGCAAAACACCATGTTGGGGTTTGGGGCGTCTTCACACGCACTGGTGGCACCATCGCCTCATTTGGTAGGAGCCCATGCTACTCTCCCTTCCCCTCTGTCTGTCTCGGCACTGCTGACGCGGACTGCGACAGCCGCCCTCACAACTGTTTACAGCTTCTCCAAGGATGCCGCTGCCAACTTGCGCGAGAAGGATGATTCCTTCAACATAACTATCGCTTCCTTTCTAGGAGGTGCTACACTAGGGCTAAGGTGTATGTGCTTCAGATTGGGCACCGTGTCGAGACTCTTTACTAACAGACGGAGCAGCCGGCCGATTGCCGCGTGTTCTTGGTCTTGGCGCTGCCTTCGCCGTTGTCATGACTGCCTTTGATTTCACTGGTAGCAGTCTCGTTGGCAAGCAGACCGAAATCTCCAGCATGGATGAGTACGATCGCAAAGAATATCTCCGGAAGAACCGTAGACGACCCATAGAAGAGACAATAGCCGATATTGGGGAAGGCAGAGGTAAATACCTCCCAGTGAAGCATTTTTGACTAACCACGCGCACTTTTCGCTCTGCTGACCTCTCTATCTAGGAATTGAACCGCCGGGTTACGAAGAACGAAGACGAGAGAGGCTAAAGGAGAAATATGGTGTCGATATCAAACCCGTCTCGGCGCTAGCAAACTAAACTCCTGAATACCCAACCGGCTCATACCTGTACATATGCTATACAATGTGCCGTGTAACCTACCAAATATTCCTTTGTCAGCTGATATAAATGTGTCTCTTCTCCTTATATGAGGCGTCGGGCACAGATCTGGAGTTGTAAGTGAAATTTGGGACACACCCAATTTTTTTTTTGTTTAGCTCTCCCTTTCTATGATGAGATTCCTTAGAGGCTGTTTATGACTCTTTACGAGCATGATTAGTCTATCACCATTGTTCTATCATTCCTGATATTTTGGGATTTCCCGCAGATGATGTGTCGTATTCCAGCTTCAGGATACTCAGGACTAACAGTGTTCTGTTTGCTAGATCTTTCCATATTGCAGTTCCAATGAACATGTTGCAGAATTTTGAGTTACTTGTCGTTACGAGAGGAGGCCGCGGAATCTAGCTTCTCTCTTACAGATTTTATAATGTCTGTCGCGTCCCGCAGCCATTTTTCACCCAATGAGCCGCTCAACACGCTGACCGTTTTATCCCGGGACTTCAACCCATGTGTGATTTGCAAGTCAGACTTTGGCATATCTAAGGCCTACACTCTATAAGCACAGAACGAGGATATAATGAATTCAAAAGTGGCTAAATATCATGCTCCGTCCTGAACACGTGAACAGAGCAGGCATCACTCACCTCACTAAGAACTGCCAAGACGGCTTTATTAGCCTTGCCGTCCTGTGGTGGCGCGGATACGCAAAGCTCGATAACCTCGTCAGTGATGGCGACGACACCTTCGCGTGCTTTGCTAGCGCCGGGCCGGACATGGCATCGTAGTAACAGGGTCTCCGCTGATGACTTTGACTGTATGAGGCTGATGGCGGCTCGAGATGACATGGTGAGAACAATATATATCTTTTGCCTATTAGTAATGTCTACACATACATACAGCTTGCAATCAATCGGTCGTCCTACCTCGAGCGTAGAAGTGGGTACGCGCTGGATTTAATAAGTAATTGGCCCTGTCCGAGAAGTATATCCGAGAAGTATATTGTATTAAACTCAGTCGCAAGGAGCATCATTTAGATTGGACATGAGCGCTACAATCAAGCACCAATGCAGTACATAACTGCACGCTTGGATCTTGTACCCGAGACTCGCGGTGGAGCTTGGCCATCTCTTGCATCAGCCCCACTTGTCTGTCGCAAGAGCTTGGAATAGTGGGTACTCTTACTGAGTAAGTACAGGTAAGTCGCGACAACGGCGCGATCTATTGCAGAAAATAGGCAAGTCCCTTCGATTTTATCGATAGCACAGCACGGTACCTGCTACCTACTACCAGTAGTATGGTTTACTTAGCCTTGCCTACCAGGTATAGTTCGAATCTCTTTCGCCACGGTTTCAATGCGAACACGCTTTGTCAGTCGTTACAGTCACAGTGCAAGTTGGGCTTGTCTCGATCGAAATCTCAGCATGTCAATTTAACCCGGTGCATGTTTATTGCCCGCATCCTCTCGATTACACGCCAGCTTCTACGCGGCAGCATGGGGTCGAGGCCCCCGAGATATGGGAATGGAATCCCTAACGGCTCTGCGAATGGTCCAGCGAATGGCTTCCAACATACTGTGACAGCCCTCAGCAGATGGTCCATACTGAGCGCACATCTTCCTGGTAGGTGTCGCCAAATCGCTGTCAATTCAATATCATGTAGATGCGACAGTGAAGCCTAGCTAATACCATCCCTACCGCGCAGCTCCCGAAAAGATCAACACGATCCACGTCTATGATTTCGATAATACGCTATTCCAGACACCTCTGCCGAATCCGAGGCTATGGAATAGTACGACCCTGGGTCGCCTGGGGAGCCCTGATATCTTTGTCAATGGTGGATGGTGGCACGATTCGCGCATACTTGCTGCTACGGGCGATGGCGTCGAGCGCGAGGAGCCGCGTGCGTGGGACGGCTGGTGGAACGAAAAGATCGTCGAGCTAGTTCGGCTGAGTATGAAACAGAAGGATGCCCTCTGCGTGCTGTTAACGGGCCGTAGCGAGCGTGGCTTCTCCGATTTAATCAAACGCATCGTTACCAGCAAGGGCCTGGAATTTGATATGATAGGTTTGAAGCCAGAGGTTGGACCGAATAGTGAACGATTCAAGAGCACCATGTTTTTCAAGCAAGCCTTTCTGACCGCCGCAATCGAGACGTATAAGTATGCGCAAGAGATCCGCATATACGAAGATCGCCCCCATCACGTCAGTGGATTCAGGGTCTTCTTGGAAGAATATAACGAACGCCAGAAAGAGATGCGCGGCGAGCCGTCTCGCGGCCCTATCACAGCAGAAGTCATTCAGGTTGCAGACATCTCCACAACCTTGGACCCAGTTGTCGAGGTCGCCGAAATACAACATTTGATTAACAGCCACAACCTTATAGTCGATGATCGAACGAAACGAGGTCGCAGTGAACGCCTGACCATAAGAAAAACAGTGTTCTTCACTAGTTACATGATCCAACCGGAAATTACTAGGCAATTGATTGAACTAGTTGCCCCTCATTTACCTGATGGCGAGGTCAAGTATCAAGCAAACGCTGTGATCATCACCGCCAAGCCATGTCCACCTAACATACTAGAAAAAATTGGCGGGATGCACTCTAAGATGCGGTGGAGTGTGGCGGGAATTGGATCGTGGGATAACAATCTCTGGGCTGTTTCTCTCCAACCTGTCCCCGCATCAGCACCGTATCATACTGATTCTGCAACTCCATCCGTCGTCATCGCCACCCGTCGCGGCGCTCGCCCTTCGGATGTAAACAGGATCCAGCACTGGCAACCTATACCGCCTGAAAAAGCATTTGTGTTTGAGACCGAAGTCGGCGAGAAGGTCATGTTGCGCATTGAGGCCGAAGACGGTGAGGATGATGAGAGTGATAGCTTTGCCCAGCGAGGCAAGCGCAAGCAACCCCGAGCAGATGGTGATGACCGGCAACAACGCTCTGCAAGCGGTGGATACGGCCACAATAACGCACGGGGCTATCACACCGCGAGCCACCCCGGCCGTGGCGGAAGCCGCGGCGGTTTTAGGGGCGGTCCTTCGAGTCGAGGACATCGTGGGGCTTCCGGTGGCCGGAGAGCTGGACGTGGTGGGCGTGGTGGACGAGGCGGTTATCGATCACTAGATGATCTAGGGACTCGAGATGGACAAGGCGGTGTTTCCTACGACGATAATTTCCCGTCGTTAGGCAGCCACCAGCCTACATCTCAACCAGGTATCCCGTCTCAGCAAAACCAATCTTTGCCGCAGCAAGGCGGCCAGTGGCCACCATCCGGTAACTTTGGGACCGGGGCCCCGGATCTCCAGAAATTTTATTGAGATTTAAGATAAATCTAACTCTCCTAATCAATATATGGTAGTCGTGCTGCACTACCCAACAAGCAAGAAAACCGGGAGACAATGGAAAAGTCTTGCTGGAAGACTGAGGGGGGACTAATGGCTAAGCCACTTCTACCCTTGTCTCATCTAAGGTAAGGCGTAGAATAAACTAATTATAATGTCGAAAGAACAGAAAGGTTTCAGCAATTGATTTTCAATCTTGAATTGTAGCTTGAAGCTGCTACAAAGTATTCAAAGCAAACAGATTTCACGAGATGAGTTATTTCTCACCTCACTAAGGGAAGCCTGTTATAACGACAGAATTGACACATCAATTCAATCTCCCTATCACATCGGACACCGAGTTTATCAGGCAGATTGACTAGCGAAGCTGTGAGGAATCCCGCGATATGGACGCCTTGGTGTTTCACGGCCAATGGTTTATGTATATAGATTTCAATTAGGCCTGTCAGGTATCGATGAAAAGGGGTAATCAAAAAGGCAAGCTAATGAGCTTATATGCCATTATCAAAATTATGTGTCTGCTTTGGAAGCTTTGGTGAATTCATATTCCCAATATCATGGATCCCAGTGCCGTCTCGCTTTAACTAGTGATATATGATATACATACAACCGTCAAACAACAGGTTCTGCGCCAGCACTGCCTACGTAGGTGCTTTTTGCCTACTTGGTTTCATAGGTAGAGACGTGTCTGCATTTGAACCGACATAGCCTCATTTCCCATCCCGAACTCCAGGATCTCATTAATTTCGCAAAGCGTAGAAGCTAGTGCAGCCTCTTGTGGAAATACCTCGCTCCTCGTCATCGGTGAATCGACACTGATGTCATGATACGAAATAGCGCGACGACATAAGCCTAATATGCGTATACACGCCTCACAGGGGTAATATCGGTCTAAAAGTCCACGCCTTCTTCCCTCTCCCTCTTGATCTTTGGATCGCGCTCATCGCGCATGAGACCAAGCACGAAGGAGCGGAAATACTCCACATACGGCTTCAGACTCGTCTTCTCCCAGTCGGCAGGGGTCTTCCCGTCCGCACTGCTAGCGGGCTCGTCCTCGCTTTTCCAGCTGTCGATCTCGCGCAGGAGGCCCTGCACCGTCGGGACAGTCGTGGGATCGAAGTCCTCTAGCTTCTCCGTGTCGATGGGCACGCAGACGCGGCCTGTGCCCGGGTGCACGACGAAGGGCGACTTCAGCAAGTGGTTCAGCTTCTTCGAGACTTCGATGTCCAGGCGCGGGTATGTGTATTCGAGGACGATGTCTTGCTTCGCTTCTAGGAGCGCGCGGGCGTCGAGGCTTTTGCTCGCGCCGCTCTTGGCCAGCGCGTCGATGTCGGCCCATTTCGATGTGCTGGCGCGTCCGGGCGACGAGTCCCATTTCTTACGCAGGCTTTCGTTAAGCGCTTTGTCTGGGAGCAGCGAGAGGAGGTGCTCGGCGCGGTCGCTCGAGGCCCACGGGTCTTGGGTTTCGAGGACGTCGCTTTGGAAGTGCGGGGCTAGGATGTCGAGACTTCGGCTAGAGAGGAGTTAGTATTATAGAGATTTAGGCTAGATGGGAATAAGAAGTAAATTGGGTTGCCTTACCTTAGATGTGGATGTAAGGGCCGCCATAGATTGACTTTCTTCCCGCTCTGCGAACCGCCCCGGATCACCTCTAGATACCCCGCGATGGCCCTCCGCTTCTGGTCGTCCATGACGCGCGCCTTCTTGTCGCAGACCCAGGCGTGCGCGCCACGACGACCGGAGTACACCCACATGATGTGCTTGAAGCCGAAGTCATCCCGCAACGCTGTGTCGACGACTTTAATCGCCATTGTTATGAACTGCCAGCATTTTATGCAGATGTTGGCCTTGTCGCAGCACGTACGGATGCCGTCGTAGTCTGTCAAGTCGATATCGAAACATAGTTCCTTCGCGAGGGGTTTGAAGGAGGTTTGATTCCGTAACGTCTTGCGGTCGCGTGGGTTGGTTGTGTATACGGGCCCGATCTCGAAACGGGAGGGTAGTTTTGCTATTATGTCTTTGCGAATACTGTGAGGATGAAAATGAGTTAGTCCATACAGCTTCACTTTCCTTGGCATATAAGGAGTGCAATTACGGGTCTTACAGGTCTGCAGTTGGATAGGATTGGTATCGGAGGTATATTTCGTTGTCGGTGTTATCGTGTATCGTAAGGGCGAATTCACGGTGGCCAAAGTCGTTCGTCGGCGTTGGACTGTGGTTCAGCCATTGGAATAGGTAGCGGAAAGGGAAGAGTCGTTGGTAGAACATGCGCATGAGCCCAGGGTCGGAAGAGCTTATCCCGTTTGTATTCCCTCTATTGCAGCAGTCAGCGAAAGTCTAAATCTGATTGTGCATCAATGATAGATGCCAGACAAGGGGTTCCCATACATTGGCGACAAGGGGCTCTCGGGCTTCGAGTTGTTCTGTGTCTCTGTAGGCCATTCTTCATCGTCCTCGATATCGGCAAATAGATCGTCCAATTTCACATCTTTCTTTTCTTCGCCGTTGGTTCCGGCCATATCAACGTCATTATCCGCAGCTTCTTGGCTGTGGCCGTTCTGGGTTGCGGCATCCGCCATTTCGGCTTTGGTCTTGGAAGCTTCACAAGACTCTTGGGACTGGGGACTTGTAGAATGAGGCATGCAATGAGTTATGTATTTTCTTGAAGGGGGTTAATGCGTGGTGTAAGTGAGTCAAATCCGGGTGTTTCTTTACGATTGTCTGTCACCCAAATGTACCAAGGTATCACCACCCATGTTGGAGATTTGAGAGCGCGTCAAAGGCGCGTTCTGCCAAAGCGCGTTAAGCACTTTCCAGATAAGATAAGGGGCCCCACGCTCACTGCGCGAACGACCTCGGTACTTTGGATTATGTAATCATTTCAGTGCAACTGTTCCGAATTGCCGTAATGACTTGCTCTAGGTATGTGAGTTACGGTACATTACTTGTGGCCCTGGAACAAAGGTTGAACGTCCCTTGTTGCGATAACCTCCTACGCACATCCAGTGCACGCTTCAATTTTACAACGGTCATGCCTTGGCCAACAAGTCGTTTGTGAATCAAACAACTCGCGCCCTCCCCGGCCCCCATGGTGTAATTATGCCATGGTGTATGAGACAACGGCGAGGCCTAGCTTGCAATTGCTACAGTCTATTCGTTACCGGTGAACACCATTGCTACTCCTCAAGCATTAGGTCGGAGAGTCTCGCAGTCCTACCTGCAAGATAGTCGAACCAAACTGCTGACAAATGTGCCTCCTGACTCTACTACTTCGTAAGTACAATACCAGTAGCCATAGTCGTGAGACTTCGCACGTCATAGGTTCGCCTCATCTACGGTATGTCGTTCGCTCTACATTATACCCGACTCACGTATCCTACCATGGTAATAGCAGTTTACAAATAGGCATTAGTAATGATATCAGCGGGGTGTGACAAGGGCATTCAGCCTCAGCCAATTCGCCTACATTGTGTCACTGGTATTACATGAGGCGTCATCTATCAAACTTCCTTCGAGTTAAGCGAGGAAGAAGAGGTTACGTACATTGCGGGGTATCTAGGGATTAGGTCCAACATCCAGTAGCTGGTCAAATCACCCCAACCAGCCACCCGCGTGCCTCCTTTTCGTTCGTTTTACGTGACAGGTTGCCGGGAAGCAGCTCACCACAAAATGTTGTCACCCGGCACATGGATTCCACAAGGCATTCTATAACACCATGCCAACCATCCAATGCCCCCACGCTCCCAGACTTTGGTTCAGGCTCCTCTTTCAGCCATTGATATCTACCGGCATTTCCACTCCAAGTCCTTGTTCGTCTCCTGTCAGAATTCATCAACATTCAAGCCACATTAACGGGGATATCCAACCCCCGCCGAGGCGTCGCTGAATATTTGTTGGTGACATTCCATCATGTCGGCCCTAATTAACACAAATAACTTGAATGTGAAGGAGTTGCTTGTTGTCGTCTTGTCTCTTGTAGGCCAACCTCACGCTTTCTATGCCTAACATGCAGTCATTACTACCCCAGGCCTCTATTACAGAAAGGTCGAGCTAACATGAACGACGACCCTCAAGACAGCTGTACTCACTCTATCACATCTCTTCTACAATGGGTTCCTTCACCCGCTTCGAGATTTTCCGGGGCCCATTTCCCATAGCATGGCAGTCCTCCCCCGCGCTGTAATGCAATTTCGTGGCCGTCTACCCCTTCACGTGGCAGACCTTCATCGACGCTATGGGACAGTCGTTCGCATCGCACCAAATGAATTAACCTTCAGCAGTCCTCAGGCATGGCGTGATATATATGGCTACAAGCCTGGCCAAGAGGAATTCCCTAAGTACCGGGGATTCTATAAAATATTTGCCCACATTCCGACAACTATAGTTAATGCTGATACGTTTGAGCATGGGCGGTTGCGTCGCCATCTTGCTCCCGCCTTTGGCGATCGCTCAATGCGTGCGCAGGAGCCCATTGTTGCTTCTTACGTGGACTTACTGATCTTGCGTTTGAAGGAAGCCGTGCAGGTTGGTTTTCTCAGTCTTTCATCCCATGACGATGTATCCGGGCACAGGCCCTTAACACGGCGAAAGCCTGCGAGATGGCATAATTAACAACAAATACTGATTCATAAATCCTGATCAGAAAGACAGTTATCAAAACATGTTAGAATGGTACACCTGGGCGACGTTTGATATCATAGGTGATCTAAGTTTCGGCGTTGAAGGTGGCTTCGGCTGTTTGACTAATATCAGCTACCACCCCTGGGTAAAATTAATTAAGACGACCATAGTTCAGAACGGGAGGATCTTAGCACTGATAGAACTTGGATTCCGGAAACCCCTTGCGTGGCTACATCAACTCGCGGGCAAAGTATTTGCTGAATACCAGCACCGTCTTATCGTGAAAGAAAAAGTCTTACAGCGCATGAATGGCGCGAAACGGCCAGATTTCCTAGATAACTTGATCCGAAATAAGGAGTTACTGAATCTTGACGCCGGTCGCTTGGCTACCAATGCCTCGGTACTTGTCGTTGCCGGCTCGGAGACTACGGCTACTCTGCTGTGCGGAGTGACTTATTTCCTAACGACGAATATCGACATCCTACAGAAAGTTCAGCATGAGGTCAGGTCTTCCTTCAAAGGCAATGAAGAAATCACCTTAACAAGCGTTGGAAATCTACACTTCGTGAGTCATCTGTTAATCTTACTGTTATGCTTCGGTACCTACCTTAATTGAGGAATATGTATGACTTGAGGTGCCATGCGGTGCTTCAAGGGCCAGTCTGGACATCGTCTAAAACGTGGCTAACTCAGCTTTATCTAGATGTTGGCTTGCTTAAATGAAGCGCTCCGTCGCTATCCACCAGTTGCAACAGGTGCGCCTCGGGTAACTCACAAGGATGCTGTTATTGACGGAAGACTCGTGCCAAAAGGGGTAAGGGCATATGGGTCTATCACTGGTTTATCACAGTAGCTCCATACATGATGAGTTGCTGCTAATGTCTGGATGATAGACTATCGTCTCTGTGTTCCAGTATGCTGTCAATCACGATGAGCGCTACTGGAAAGAGCCCAATAAATTCTTACCCGAGCGTTGGATGGGCGATCCTACATACGAAAGTGACCAGCTCGGTATGTGATACTCGATGTCTCTCCGTGCCTTAAGTAAATTTTCGAACATGAAATGCCTCTTGATTTCATGCTCGTAGGAACACGGCTAAGTTGTTGTCTTAATTGCAGATGCAATGCAATCATTTAGCGTTGGTCCGCGCAACTGTATCGGGCGAAAGTGAGTATCAAGTCTTCTCATCTCTTCATACGTTGTATTCCTTTCCCCGCACATCTAGTTATACTCGTCCCGACTTCCGACACAGAAATTTGCGGTGGACGGTTGATATCGGGATAAATCGACACCTACAACTGAATAACTGTCTCCTGCGGTTTGCATATGAAATTCATTCAAACTACCAACTGACTGCTGACACAAATGCACACGACCCCTATAGTCTCGCCTACGCGGAGATGCGCTTGATTCTCGCTAAGCTCATCTATAACTTCGACTTAACCCTCGCAGATGAGAGCCATCATTGGATTAGCGCCCAGAGGGTTTGGTCAACCTGGGATAAACCTCCTCTGCGCATACATCTTCATCCCCTCGACTCGATCAACAGCGCAGATTGACGTAAAGAATCTGGTCTGTAAGCTGGCAGGAGATATGCTGTGCTGGGTACTAATGAGACAACGTTTGCTTAGTGTTGTAACGATAAGTAATCATCGTAGTTTATTGAGCGAGGTTTTGGAAACGCAAATTGAGATCATCGATCAAAATTTTCTCATTGCCACATCTTGAATTGAGAGTGAATCAAAACTCCAGTGCCATTCGTAAAACACTTTACGATCGATACATGGGACCTGACGTCCGAACGTGGCTGCATACAACTCTGCCAGAGATCCGTGTTGAGGAAGGAAGACACTGTTACCAGCATTCAGCACTAGAAAGTTATTGCTGCTGTACAGCGAATGGGAAGATTCGGCGCCGATGCAAGCGACTAGAAATGATTTTGAGCTCAACTGGCCAATTGCTTCTAGTCACACTATGGGAACATCTGCAAGCAGCTCTAGTAATGAGAAGTGGGCTGTTCGACACTCCGACAACCGTGAATTACTTGACCAAGTTAGTCAAAACTGATAAACCCCTCGCAAAGGTTGATCCGAGTTGCATTTCTAGTGGGCTTCGGCGCATTACATCTGCAACTTGTTGGAGAAATAATAATTAAAACGCGGGGCAAGTCGTAGCATAGCTTCACGAGGCTGCGACCCATCCCTACTAGTCTACCGGACCTACACACATGCACATATGGGCATACGTACTTGCACACGTATGTTCGGTTATACCACCTCCTAGTAGCTAGTTGTCACAGTGATAGATGCAGTTTTGTATCTGTGTGGAGGTCTAAATCATAAGGGGTGACCTTTGAGGAGGGGTGAGGAGGGCGAAGTAGGGGTCGCATCCTGTAATAAACCAACAATAAGCTGCAAGTTGCGACGCCTGATTTAAGCGAGTCAAATGGACATAGAAAGGCAATGGGGTATGCATCGTGTATAAGCACTCTTCATTCCTAGAACCAATCATCGCGTCGCTTCGCTTCTAAAACTTTTCCCACCGCGATTAGCACTGAGTCACTGCAATAATCAGCAGTTCCTTACTGTAGTACGAAGTGTGATGTATACTTAAGCCTCTGACTATATATATCAGTAGATCTCCCAGACCTTCTTCAGTCCGATCCTTCTCTCTTGATGCTAAGGCATACGCTTCTTCTACTTGTCTTGCACGCGTCTCCTGTTCTTTAACAATTCCCGATCTTCCGCGCCCTCAATTATATATAGAACAGGTATTATAGCCAGATTCATTCGGAATCTTTTTGCGCTTACGCTTATGTCTCATGACACGCCAACAATGGCTGACAAAGACGACGATTCCGGGATGAAGCTGCGTGAGATCAGCAGATGCCACAAAAAGCCCATCGTGAGACTTCTTCTCGACATCCAAAATTCCCAAAAGCCACAAGTAAAGGATATCGGGTTTCTGAAGCATCTTGAATGTTTTATATTTGATGAGAAGAATGAGCAGCGATTGCGTCGGACCTGGATTAACGTATTTGAGGAGACGAACTATGTCGCGCTATCATATACTTGGAATCCATCCAACTATGAATGCAAAAACGATCACGGTTATAGGATCCAGAATAGGACAAGAGATAAATTTTTCTCATCTCCAGTTCGGAATTGCGTCTTTCAGCGCATTATGGAATACATGCGGGCTATGGGGGTTGACTGCCTCTGGATTGACAGGCACAGCATCCCGCAAAAGGAAAAAGAGTCCCCTAAGAAACAAAAAGCCTTACAGTGTATGGACTTGGTCTATAAACTGAGCAAACATCCCGTCGCATTACTAGGCCGGGAGTTAGTGCCAGATCGAGAATTGACACTGCTATACGATGCTCTAACGGGGAGACTCGTCATACGGAAAAAGATGACCGAGGAACAGCACCGCAAGGTCATTGAAACGCTGCAGTTGTTATATGAAATCACAAATGATCTCTGGTGGCAACGAGCCTGGACATTTCAGGAGAATTACAGGGGAGGCGCAAAGATGACCTTGCTCATTCATCATCTACCATCTGACGAAACAAGCAAAATGGAATATGGAATATTTGGGGAGATCCCAGGCGAGTTGAGTATTAACTCATCAGACTTTTCCAAGAAAGTGACAAGTCTCTGCCGGGATATCCAAAACACTCTGCCTCTGGTGGAAAAAAGGGAAAAGATGATTGAATCGATATTGAGTGCGGCAGGAAGGTACACTACCCTACTGGACGAGTCACAGACTATGTCTCCCACGATCATTGCGGACGTCGAGAAAAGAGGGGTTAAACATGTTTGGGATAGGCTTCCCATCGTTGCCAATTGTTGCAGCTATCCTGTGCGGATGGACATTGAAAACCTGCGAAAGAGCCGACATAGTGTCAGCTTATCAATGTTGACTATGTGTCTTTTGAACGGCGAGATTCTCAATAATGCGCTTTCAAACACGCATATATCACTGGACACCACGACCTCGGTGTTTCTGAAGAATCAGTTCTTCGACAAGATATCGTCTCCAGGAGAGGAAAAGAGCCTTACTTTCAACAAGGGCTGTCGGTTTATCAATGTGAAGCTGACTGAAAGCGGTATTTTGACTTATGGGCATCTCTGGGAGATGAATCGCAATAGGAATCGCGTTATCCGTACGGATCAGTTCAGTAGGCGGCTCCCGTGGGTACAAAATCCAGCGGGAGATCTGACACGAACAGAACATCAACACCTCACTCAACTCTGTCGACAGCTGAGGAACTTTCCTGACAGTAAATTTCTTGCATGTTCCATTAAAACTTACTTGAAGAGAGATGCAAGTGGAAACCCAGGTTTCAACTCCGGGGAGAATTATATGCGTATGATGATGATAGAGGTGGCTTCGGCGATTGAGGACGGGAAGAGATTAGTGCTGGGACGTCTCAGTCATTCGCGCGAGTACACGGCTATCTTCGTCTGTTCGGGCAACACCACACCGCATTTCATCTTCACTTCCTCCCAACATAGGCGTCTTGGAACTGAGAACCACATCGTCGACGATACAGACCGCCATGTTTCTCTCGTGGTCGATCGCCAGCTTGAGGCAGAAGATAATTTTGGAAATCTGCCACATTTATATGTCAAACGTTGGGTTTCGGGGATTTCCTTTTTTGTGGGATGCCGGAGGGAGAAGGTTATTTTTCCATGGCCTCAGGTTTTAATGAATGCTGTGCGATAGGTATTTGGTAGTATGAAGCACTGTTACTCCTGTTGTAATGACGGATAACACGGGATTGGCTGAAATTAACGATTTCCTGAATAAAAAATAACTTGATTGGGTTCTTTGAGCTCCCGATAGCCACATCACAGACGAAATTCTTTGCCCTGTAAAAGGGTCATCATAGGGATTAATCAGTACGACTTATTGTGAGTCTTAATTATTAGTTCTAAGCCCGGGATTTCTGTTGTTGTTATATACAAGATATACCAGGATTATATTCTTTTTCGGCGGTCTGAACCATCTACTTCGATAGCTTCCCTATCCAATAGCTTAGAGTAATTCTACTGCAGGTACCGCTAATTCCGAAGTCTTTGATACTGATTGTTCAACTTTCCCAGGTATAGCACGCTTACGAGCATTGAGCTTTAATCGCCAAATTCTGATAGACACATCTGTCTAATCAATTGGATAGCCTGTTGCCCATTATTTAGCTTGGGTTGACATAAATTACTGCAATCTATGGAAACAAGGCCTAACTTATTCATTGTGCCATTCTGTGTCACAAAGAGACTGTCAGCCATCACGTTTGGAACAATCGCGTTGTCTAGGGAAAGAAAGAATCTATTTCGGTTCAAGGACGCACATAAAAAGCCAGCAGAATCCAAATATCAGTTATGAACTTTGATGATCAAATAATTCATACGCAAACGCACACACAAACACGCCACCACGTACACAATTCACCGAATACGAATAAATACGAATCGATCAACTGATATTTTCCACTCAAGCTTTCATAATGAGTACCATGAATGCTACAGTCAATGCCAAGTTAATTGGGGTGTTAGAAAACCATTATCGCCCAATGCAGGAATACCAATTTGACAAGGAAGCTAAAAAGTGGGTTTATATCAAGCGTACAGGCGCCTCCAAGCCTACAAAATGTCTATTTTTAACCGACGATGGTTTCTTAAAATGGGTGGCAGTCAATGCAGGTGTGTTCCAAGGCCATTGGTACAACAGGGATACCAGTCATCTTGTATTTCCGTGCTTTCCTATTGGATCCTGGAACTTTGGCCAAATTCGTCGATTAGACAACGGTGAGGTAGGGTTTTCACAGACATCTGAGAAAACGTTAGTTGGCATCGAGAATGCTTGGCATCCTACCAAAATCGACTTCACCGAGTTTGAACTCATAAACCAGTTCGGCCACTTTAAATCAGGAAGGCTGTGGCTTGCCAAGCATTCCCGCTTTAATGAGCAACTTTTGTTCGTAAAGATAGAGCCTTGGGCTAGTAGCTGGTCTATCAAGTCAATGGAGAATGAAACTAGAGTCTACGAACGTACTTACGGCCTTAACTTGACACCGCCATTCCTGGGTCATGTAACCTACAATGGTGCTATCATCGGATACGTACTTGAGTACCTTGAAGGAGCGAAAACGACCAAGAAAGAAGACAAATATGCTCGCATCAAGGCTGTCAAGAAGCTTCATGCTCTTGGAATCAGTCACGGTTGCGCTCATCACGCAAACTTCTTGAAGGTCGGCAAAAACATGTTGATGATCGATTTCCAAGAGAGTAAGTTTGACGAGAAGGCCACTGAAAAATCAAAATTGAAAGATATCCGGCGAATCAAACACATAAGAACTGACATGTTTGCATACACAACTAGTGATGATGGTTATGTTGAGGAGACTAGCCAGTTTGATGATATGATCGATGATGAGATCGATTGGACGGATGATTCAACCGACAGCGAGAGAGACGATCTTAATAAGCCGATAGCCGAACCAGATGACTCTGATTACGAGTTTGGGTGCTATTGGCGACCTGATATACACCAGGGCAATTAGTAGTACAAGCTCAAGATGACAACTCGCCGAAGCCGAGTTCACTGAAGTGCACCATGTCTGTGCTAACGCGCCCTGGTTGTTGAGCTCTCCGCACCAAAGCCTCTCAATTGGCTACATCAAAAAGCAGAGCCTCGCTATATATAGCCCTAGCCCGTTCACAGCGATTTTAAAACCTTCGTGTAATAGAACGTCATATAGTACCCCATAATTACACTAGGAATCAATAAACGATAATCAAAACAAGTAGATATCTATGCTTTTCAGGGACGTGAATCTTGTAAGGCCTCGCTAAAACTTAGGCAACCACCTCGTAACTAAGAGCTCATGACAGCTAGAAGCTAGCCTCCTTCAAGTGGAATAGTCAGGTTTCTCAAAGAACCAGTGATGTGTCATGGTAGATAATAGGCGTTTGATAGTAATTAGACATATCAACTACCAAGGGCAACTATTAATTAATTGCTGCCAATATGAGGAGATGGTTGTGCTGTATTAGATACAATGACTCGTATGACACATGTTTGAATATAATTGATATTTTAGCTTCATGATCTAATCTATACTCAGTCTTCAGTGTGACACGTAAATCTACATGCTACTCTGTAGGTAGAAGGAAAACGCTGACAAATGAGATGGGATTTCCATAGGACGCTCGTACTCCACTTTGTTTCAACCACAACAACTCCAGGTTTCCCTCCCAACATGATTATCGCGTACTGTATCATCATCCTACAAAAGCTGTGTCAGGGGTCTCGGGATAGAGGAGCAAAGAGATAGATTGTATATAGTCAGAGAAGTCCGAATGCCTTCAGACTTCTGAGCTTTTAGACCTTGTGCCACAAAGAGAGTCTTCCTGTTTACCTTGTACAGCCCTTCTGACAAGCTGTCCTCCGTATCTCCATGTCGCGGAGTAGTGAATATGACGTATCAGGACCGTTAAACTTTACGGGTTAATAACGGCGCCGTTTTTTCGTGGCAATAGAGTTATGCGTTACAGAGGAGTTATTTCTTAAGCTCGCGACTATAGGATGAGTACATATGTTATCCCCATTTAGATCACCTAATAGCACCACTGGGGTTGATAATTCTCTCTGGCGCTTGACATGCCGGCTTATGCTTGACCTGGCTAAAGGATACAACCTAACGATCTGCCCATTAACTTTATTACCATTCTGTAACTTTTAGGAGTTGAGTATGTATGTCAGTAATGATCAGCTCGGCCAAACGTTAATCCTGCTCTCTCGGACCCGACTTTTCAATCTAAAAATGAGTTTGCATCATCCCTGCTAAGTCCCCTCGCAGCTATCTAAGGGCGATGCATCGCGTACAAGGGCTAGAATACCCCAGAAACACAATCAAGGCATTCGTGCTACTAATCTAGATGTTTGATTCATGGAATGAAGCTAACGTCAAACGACAGGCATGAGGGAAGTTGATAGGCAATTAGACCGGTGGCTGATGATCTTTATTACAGTTAATTAATTAGGAAACTCTAGGTCTATTAAAGGCACACCGTAAAGCTATAGCTGAATCACTGGGCCCTCCGATGTTATTGATATGTCGCTTGGTATTTTACCCACACTGCAGATCCAGGCAGGCGAGGTACCCCCCCTGGAGGACGCCACCACCTACGCAACCTCTGACCCCTTACAGACAGATCATTACACTGTTGAGGCTTCACACATGGTGCAGAGCCACACTTCATTCATCCGCAGCTTTCATAGAATTTATCAGCAAGCTCTTCGTATATAGGTTGCGGACAAGGCGCATTTTGTAGGATACTGTGTTGAAGGGCATCACCACTACGAAGAGGCGAAGCTTTTTGTGAATATCAACAAGGCCGGTAGCAGGACCTATTGTATGAGCGCTACAGTTGAGGAACATGGTCCGTACTACCTTGATGAATTAAGATTGAGATGCCCGACTAATGATTCGGATGATGTGTAGCAACCTTCTTCGGTAGTTTGAAAAAATAAAATAAAAGGTTATCTATAGAAGAAAGGAGCAAACTGTAACGGCGACGAGGTGATTGATATCTTGGACTTGCTTAAAGGTACTTTGCATTCTTACGTTAAAGTAGAGACTTTTGAAATTATATCTCTTATGTAATATAGCATAGTGGGGAGGCCAATTAACCTTCTATCTACTTCACTCAAACAAGGTCTAAGTTGGTTGAACGCATATATTTGGGGGGGCATGGGCCATACGAAGCCTAATTACGTACGCTTGATCAAGGCCAGCCACTGCGCGTAGGCGTACGTACGCAGTATGCCTTTTTGGGAAGTAGAACCAATTAGGTATTTCTGACGAAGCCGGGAAGAAGTAAGTCAACCGAGCTTCCCATTCAATGTTCTACCCATGTTTTTACTTAATATGAAGGCCAAAGAATTTTAAGAGGGATATGTGGCATGACGTATTCCCTCCATTCAAGGTATACAGTCAAGTGGATTTTGAATAAGGCTGTTGTGGCATGGCATGCAGGCGGATGTTCGTCTCGTGCTCTCCTGAGCGACTGCGGTTTCTGACATCGCCAGCATATCTGCATTCTCTAGAACGCACAGAAGGAATTCTAGCAGAGCCACTGTCTCTCGAGACAATGAAGCTGAATCCAGAAGACTACTCATTGAAGCTCAATCATAGCTTCATTTTGATAGCACAAACCATATATTGTCTGATGCTGCCCCTTAGAAGTTAGTCCGATATGGAAGCTTGGGGAAAGAAAAAAGGGAGCTGATCAAGGGAAGATGGGCTCCATTCATGGATCCTGTGACACTCGAAGCAATCGGCTGCTGCGCGTTGTAGTTCCACGAGCATCATCCCTTGGCATTGCATGAAGCAGCAGATCTATTTGATTGGAGTATATATCCCCATATACAAAACATCAACAAACAACTTCTAGTTTTTCTACTTGACGTTGTATGATAAGTGGCAACCTGGTTCCCCTTCTTCTCGGCGCGTGCTTGGAATTTTGAGTCACCTATTATATTTTGATGCCTTTCGTTCCCTTCGTCGCCAGACTATGCCTCCCTTGTACATGTGTGCTTTTCGTGTCAATATGAGTACTTTTTCAGCTGAAGAGTCACATGCATGTCACCACTGCCATACTTCCGGTTAGGCTGTACATAGGTAGTACGAATACTTCGACTAGTGAAAGTTTCCAGGGCGTTGAGGAGATCGTATGGCCTGACACGGATCTGGCAGTGGAATCTCGCGGCCTTCGTCATGCATAGAAACAAACATGCCTATGTTACCCTAGGGAAGTTGACTACGAATTCGCGGCATGAATAGATTCGGCTATATATTTCGCAAACCTCACCTAAATATCCTAATTCTGTTGCACGTGGATCAGGAACTCACTTTCCATCATTACTCACATTTGCCAAAGGAGGCTACTATTCATTTCCTATAATTTTGAGACAGAAATCGATTCCGTACAATGTCTGACACCTATTATCGTGAAGAGTTTTTCCTCACCGATGAAGATCAGGATATATGGAATCAATATCAACGTCGAAATCGATTTCAATACATCCCTCTTCTCAAGGTCGCGCTATTGAAGAGATGGCGAGCGATTCTTACGGCTCCAACAGACCCCAATGAAATAGTCCTAGATATAAGAAAGTCCAAGGCGTACATCACCTTGAAAACCCAGATGCAGGAAGCTTCCACCTCCTTAGCGATCCAGATGGAAATTGTCAAAGAGGAGGAAAAAGAGGCTCGAGGTGGATGTAAGTAGTCCAAGTGAAACACATCTAAACTTACTTTGTCTACACACTTAAACGAGGGAGGCTACTTCCCCCGAGAATGCTCATACATGTTCCGTTTTCTCCAAATTAAATCTACGTCGTACCTGAAAGGACTAACATGGCTATTGTAGCATTTGCCGACAACTTGAAGGTGGACTTGAGAAAGATCAGCATCCAACAGGAGATGAACACAATATGGAGTATCCCTCAAGCCATGAAAGACCACGAGGCTTTCAAAGAAGTAATAGAGAGTTGGAAGAATTCTAACGACACTATGCTTGTTGCGCTTTTCGAAGGAAGGCCTATATATGATAAAGAGGCCATTGAAGATATGTAGATTGGACATCATAAGCCAAGCAAATGCCACACGTACGGATGGAGTGTGCAACATCGCCACCATCATCGACCTGGCGATATTTCAGGGAGCAATACAAGACATGGTAGATATCATAGGCACAGTTTAGTTAGCATTATGATACGAGTACAACCGGGTTACAAGAATACGTTAGCGGAAGCATCATGCAAGCAGTGACAGGGAACTCGGATCAAGAAGAACAAATACCTTGCGAAATAAGCAACCGAGAGAGATACGGGAGCCCAATGATTCCGACACCACGGTAGTCGGGCAGCGGGATGAATTGACTGCCATGACTGTTCTACCGCTATGTAGATGCACTTCCAGCGATTGTGATAGTAGATTAATAGGAAGCCTACATACCAAGTAGAATTGTCGGAATTCAATAGTAAGCAACCCGCTTGTATTTGAGTACCTTCGAGTGATAACGCTCTTTCACTTCACATCCTCGTATATCAATGCCGCTGAAAACGAAAGCGTAGAGAAACCCAATTTCAGATGTTTAAACCACTAGTCTTCCAACACATCAACATTTGTATACAGTTACGTCAACGCAAAAACTCATCTGAGTCACGTATAGAAACCCAATACAGTCTACCATGGCCTCCTCACGACAGCACGACCTCAAACTCAAAAGGCGCAGTCAACAAAGCATACTCATCCCTCGTCCTCGGCCCACAGGAACCACTCCCTAGGCCATGATGCGCCGCATCCAGTCTCAGCACGACATTCTCCGTCTTCTTCCTGCGGAGCTCGTACGGGTGTTTCGCAGCCTCGACATCAGCGACACGATAATGCGAAGCGTTGAAATCGAATGTTTTTCGCTCGCTCTTGTCGGACGAGTCTAGATCCATGAACTGCGCCGTAACCTCCTCTCCGGACTCACCATGCGTGAACCGCACCCAGCGCGTATCTGTGCGATTGCTTCCTTCCTGGGGATATTCGTAGTCCGTCCACAGCTCGTCGATTGAAGACACCGAGTACTCTCCGAGACGCTGCGAGAGCTTCTTATCCACATAACTCTCGCCGGGCCCACGACCGTACCATGTCAGCGCTTTCTTCGCGCTGGATCCGGCCCATTGACTAGGGAGCTCGAAGGAGAGGCCGATGCGTGGGAGAGTGCGGGGGAGATTCTGGCCTTTCGGTACACCATTGACCCGAATCGATACAGAGCCGTTCCCTCGGAACGCGTACGTAATATCGAGATCGATCGACCACGAAAGTACAGGGGGTGCGAATCGCTGCTGCACCTGCACTACAAATGAACCATCGTCGCCATCCACTGCGCCCCAGCTGCTACCCCTCGTCCGTGCCGTGGCGAGATGAAGAAACTTATTTTTCCAATCCGCGCCATCCTGGGGGTAGTCGTTGTCCGTCTGTGCACGGTAGAACGTTACGCTGGGGCTCGTTGCGAGGAGCTCAGACCCGTTCTTCTTGAATGAGCGGATTTCACCGTGTATGGGGCTCACAGTCCATATAGCGATGGGAGACTTGATAGTGATGAGGGCCGGGGTCTCATGAATTGTCAAGTTGCCAGTGGTCTCTAGAGAAGTGCGCCGGGACGGTGAGATTGAATATTCTTCAAAGGCAATCTCGTGGCTAGCAGGTAACGCTGCTGTCTTCTCTTTCAGGCGAAATACGATCTGGACGACACCTTCACCCGCGAGAGAATCTAAAGAAGGCAGCTTCTCTATCACTGTGAGCTCGGCTGTTTGCCCAGGCTGGATTCCCCTGGGGATATCTACAGCGCCTTTATGCGAGGTTGGTTTTCCCTCGTCGAGGATCATATAGCTGGCCTCCAGATGATCGAGGGTGAGGAAGTCGTACCTGTTGATGATTGTGATCTTCTCTGGCGTATATGACACAACCTTGATGGGCTCTATTGCCTTCTTGTACTCGGTAAGTCCCGGAGTCGGTGTATGATCAGAGAATAGAACACCATCCATGATGAAATTGCTGTCATTTGGAACATCGCCAAAGTCGCCGCCATAAGCGTAGAACTCATCACCGGTTTCTTTATCTTTCGTCAACAGCCCATGATTCGCCCATTCCCATACGAAGCCTCCTTGAAGCGACTCATACTTATAGAAAGTGTCGACATATTCTTTAATATTTCCCGGCCCGTTTCCCATGGCGTGGATATACTCACATAGTATCAGGGGTTTCGTCTTCGAATTGTCGTTAGCAAATTCAACCATCTCCTCGACTGGCGGATACATCCGGGAGTACATGTCCATCGTATCAGCATAAATATCAGCCTCGTAGTGGATTGGTCGGCTATCATCATATGACTTAATCCAGTTGTACATAGCCACATGGTTACGGCCGAAGAATGCTTCATTTCCCAGAGACCACATTATCACGGAAGGATGAAGCTGATCGCGCCGAACAAGCTGCACGGCGCGGTCCACGTAAGCCTTCTCCCAGTCAGGGTTGTCTGATGTCCACTTGGCAGCATTGGCCCTAGTTAAAAGCTGTCGCTCTCGAAACGGAAGTGCTCTATCTTCTGGAGATAATGCGGCATCGCCTACAGCCAGTCAGAGTTCAGATGTCAGAAGTAGATGAGCTCATTAAGTGCTTACATATAGCCTCAAACCCATGGCATTCGAGGTCGGCTTCATCCATGACCCAAAACCCTAGTTCATCTGCCAGATCATAGAGCCTCACATCACTAGGCTGATGTGAGGTTCGAATTGCATTAATGTTATGTTTCTTCATAAGCAGTAGATCCTGCTTCATAAACTCATACGGAACGGCGCGACCGAATTGTGGGTGATGCTCGTGTCGGTTAGCACCTTTTAGTACGATCCGCTTGCCGTTCACCTTAATGAGCCCATCTTTCATCTCAACCTGCCGGAACCCAACTCTTTGGCTGATGAAACTAGTTCCATTCAGTGTCACTACAAGATGATATAGAGTTGGACTTTCCGCCGTCCATTTTTCGGGCTTCTTCACTTTTAGCGACAAGTCGACCGAGCCACCGGCCACCTGCTTAGAACCACTGGCTACAACGGGCTGTTTCTTTGGGTCGTACAGCGTTACCTGAATTTCACACGAGCCAGCGATGTCCACTCGAACCTTCAGGTCTGCATCAGTGTAGTCTTTGTCGAGCTTGGTCTGGATGAAGAGATCTTCAACACGTGACTGGAATGGAAATGCAACGAGGTGCACGTCGCGGAAGATGCCGCTCATGCGCCATTGGTCCTGAATGACGCCAGCAGTGTCAGCAGCCGCAAAAATGATGACAGAAGTGCATAAACGCAACACACCTGGTCTTCAATGTAAGTTGCATCACAATATTGATAGACTTTGACGGCCAGAGTATTTTCACCCGCCTGGTCAACTGCATCTGTGATGTCGAACTCGGCGGGGTTTCTGGAGCCTTGATGATACCCCACCTCCTTGCCGTTCACCCACACGTGATATGCCGAGTCAACGCCTTCGAATCGTAGTCGAATTTGCGAGTTCCTGAGCTTCTTGGACACGGTGAATTTGCGAACGTAATGCCCCGTCTCGTTATCCGCAAAGGGAACATTTGGCGGATCAACGGGGATGGGGAAGTTGACATTGGTGTAGTGCGGCCCCTTTCCATAGCCGTTGAGCTGCCACATGCTTGGCACCGTCGTGTCGTCCCATTGTGTCGCGTCGAAAGCAGGACTCTCAAATCCTTCTGGGCCCTCAAACGGGTTGTTGGCTAGAAGGAACTTCCAGGTTCCCGACAGCGACTCTCTGCTGGCCTTTGCAGTCTCGTAGGTCAAAGCATCTTCTATTGAGCTGTAGATGTGGAAGTCTGCGCGCGGGGGTAGTGTGCCCTTGTGGAGAAGCTGCAGATTGTTCCAGTCTGGCTGGGATGGGGGGTGGACTCTGAGTGAAGGCATGACGAACGCCGCCGATACGTAACTGGCGACTATCAAGGACGTAATTGAAATCACGATTCAAAAAGGATGGTATAAAGTGCCTGTCTTAAGTTAACCGATCATGGTTGCCGTAGGAGATGGAGTTAGACGGCCAAAATGCTGTCTGTTGGGCACTCAGTCGATCCATTCACGTCATCGTGACCAGTGGACTCATGCCCCGCCCCCGCACTGGGGAACATCGCATGGGCGACGGGGTTGAGCAACTGGTTATTTCTAAGGCAATAGACAGTACGGAATTGAGTTCCCTTATCCAATAGAGGCGATATTGTATTGTATTGTATTGTATATTTAACGCTAGTGATAACTTGGTTCGGGGCAAATTAGTTGTATTGTGTAGAATCCATTTATGTGGGCTATCTCGGCTATAGAAAAGCTATCTAATCAGCCTCGAGTCGTGTACCATAAGTGGCCTCTGTGTTAGAGCTGAGGGAATTGGCGAGGATATTTGTCCAACGGAGCAATCGTGCCAATTCTATCAGGCCGTCGAGGCTTTTGTATGCCAAAAGATTGACGAAGATCCATTTCAGTTACTGCAGGCATCAACGCCACAATAGTGAGGTTACGAATCCACTCCGTTGGGAAGGACGCGGACTAGGTCTCTAGCACGCAGGAAAATCCAACCCTAACCGTGCCTCCCGATCTATGTGATCTATGCGATCTAGCTGATCTCTCAGATCATTTAGATCATTCATGTCACACATAGTTACTTTACTCCTTCCATACTATTCATATTTCCTATGTCTGCATGGTGTTCATACTCTCCGCTGTATTTATTCACTCCTTTATAGTTGCTTAGCTATCAATAATATTACGGGTATGGTAGGTCTGTCGTTCTCGTTTGAAGGAATAATAAGGTCCCAGGAGGCCAGAAAAGCTTTGGAGGATCGTGTGTTGTTAGCTAATAAGTACCTAGGTAGGTAGCCAGCAGGGGCTATGTGCGGGAGCTTGCCATGCTGCACCCTCTGGGCGTGCTAAACTGAGACAGGCCGTGGGAGCGCCCCACGTAGACCGGTCGAGCCCAGTGAATCTACCCGACGTCACCCCTGCATCCAACCAATACAGGCACACAGCGATCATATCGGTTGAAGGATTAATTCGGTGGAAATGGCCGATGCCAATAGGGACAGTCCATCCTATCCATTTGGGCCCAGCACCTATTTGGTCTGACTTGGAAAGCCTGCAGGAGACTTTGCCAGTGACATGCTGTGACAAGGGCTCTTATAGAGGGCTTGGAACTTAGTCATATTCATTAATAATCTACTAGGGGTCTTTAGGGCCTTGATCTCTCTCTCTCCTGTTTTGGAGCGGGAGATTCCTTAGCTATTTATGCTTATTTAGGCCTTATATAATTTATGACTTCCCTTTTTCTATTGGGTATTTATACCTTAAATGTTGGTCTTTTTATAGTTAATAGATTATTCTTATCCAATTGCTTATAGCTTTACTTTTTATTAGGGGTAACGTTAGCTATTTTTAGGTTTTTAGGTTTTATAGGACTATCCGTATAATACTATTTCCCTCCTTTTAATGCTTAACTTTAAATACGATTAACTTTTTAAGGGGTTTACGAATCTAAGGTTTTAATAGTTCAGGGGTCCATTAGTTTATTAGGATTTTATTAATAGAACTATTTAATAAAAGCCTTTATATTAATGCTATTTATATATTTATAGGGTTTTTAAATTTAATACTTTTTAATTAATTAACCTTTTTATTTAATTAGGTACTTTATATTTCTTTAGGTTTTTAAGGAATTTTTAATTTTTTCTATTTAATAATTTTTAAACTTTATTAAAGGTACTTCTTATAAAACTTAATTAAAGTTAAATAATATTTAATTATTAATATAATAAGGTTTAATAAATAAAACGTAAAATAAATTATAAATTCTTTAACCTTTAAATAATATAAGTTTAATAATAATAGGTAAAATTATTTTATAAATTTTAAAAGGATTAAGTATCTTTTTATTTAACTTTTTAATAGGTTTTTTTATTTTAATATTCTTTATATTTAATATTATTAATTAATTTTTAATATATTAAAATAAAGCTTTTTATTTTTTATCCGCCTATTTTTTTATATATTGTTAAGCCTTTTTTAATTATTCTTTAACTTCTTTATATATTTATATTATTTAATAGGTATATAGCCTATTAAATAAATTATAAGGTTATATTATAAAAGGGTTATATATAGTTAAATAATAATTATAATTTATATAAAAGGGGGATATATATATTAAAGTTAATATAATATTATTATATATAAATTTAATAATTAATAAAAGGTCTTCCTAATTAAACATTTTATAGTTAATAAATATTTATAAATAAATTTTAAGGATTTAATTAAGTTATTTTATTTATTTATTAATTTAAAAGTAAAAGGCTATATTTATATAAGGTTTAATATTAATAAACTTTAAAAAGTCCTTTTATAAATAACTTATAAATTTAAAGTTTTTATTAAAAATTATATTAAAGGGTATATTATATAATTTTTAATAATACTTAATAAAGATTTTAATAAAATTTTTAATTTTCTTTTCTTTAACTTTTAAAGGTATAAAGTATCCTATTTTTATAAAGGGATTTATTATTACTTAAATAAAGTTATAGCTATTAAATAAAAGTAGGTTAATAATAAAGTTTATTATAATTAATTATTATAAAGTATAATATAATTTTATAAGTTAAAGTAATTTATAAAGGATATATTATAAAGCTTTATTCTATTAATAAATATAATAGCTTTATATAAAGTCCCTTATAGTTACCTTAATATTAGGCTATTAAAAGTTCTTTATAATAAGTTTTAATATTTTATTTATTCTTATAACGCATCTCCCACTTGACCTGGCCACCCAATTGACCTGGCCACCCCCCTAGCCCATACAAAAAACATCGGTGCGCTAATCACGTGATAATTTAATAACTTTACGAATATTAGTCGTATAGAATAATAAAATATACCGTTAGATTCGTAATAAAGAGAGCTATTTAACGGTACCCTCTATTCATTTTTACGACCTATATTCGTTGAGTTATTAAGCAATACGCTAAAGTAAGCGCTAAAATAATCCTTACCTAGCGCCCTTTTAGCGTATTGCTTAATATCTCGCTTAATAAATTTTATAAAAAATAGTAAAAAATACCGCTGGATTCCTTATTAAATAATGGATTCAATGGTATTAATTATTCTATTATGGGCCCAATATTGGTCAAGTTATTATAAATTGAAACATTGGATTTTTATATAGGTTAAGGGGGTGGCCAGGTCAATTGGGTGGCCAGGTCAAGTGGGAGATGCGTTATATTTAATTATTTATATATTATACTTTATCTTTATTATTTTTTATTATATAGCTATAAATATTTATAAATATTCCTTTTTATATAATAAGTTATTTATAAGTTCTATATTTTTAAAAGGTTTATCCTTTTATAAATAATATTCCAGGTTATCCTTTATTACTTTTTTAATAAGTTTAATAAATTTTAATAGCTATTTAAATATAAAAAGGCTATGAAGTTATTTAAAGGTTAATAATATAACTATTATTAAGTTAAATATTAATCCTTTAAAATGTAAAAAATGTTTTTCCTATAAAACTAACTTAATTAGTTAATTTTTATTCCTTCCTTTTTTAAAATAATATTAAGCTAATTTAAATATAATATTAACCTTATTATTTAGTTTATTAGGTTAATAATTTATTATAAACCAATATATAAATAGTTATTATGCTTAATATATCTATTATTTATTTAAAACTTTAATTATTATAAAATATAATAGGTTTTAATAGTTAAAGTAGATTTTAATTTAATATTAAATACCTTTTAAGTATTAATACTATTAGTTAAATCTATTTATTATTATAAGTAATTCTTTATTATATATTTTATAATTTATTTTTATTAGCATTAACTTTTAAAAGTAAAAAGCAACAGGGTAAAGTTTATTATTATTATCCTTTTATAATAATATAGTTTTAAAAGTAAAGTTAAAGGTATTAATTTTAATATAAGCTACTTTAAAGGGGTTAAAATAAATAAATATAAGGGCTATAATAAATTAATATTTAAATTTAAAAAAAGCTTTATTTATAATTTTTATTTACTTTTATTATTATTAATCCATTTTATTTATATCCATTAATAGTTTTATAATTAATAAGAACTTTTTAATAAATCTTTAATAAAAGTTTATAAACCTAATAAATTATTATAATTTATATAAAATAGTTAATACTTCCTATTTAATAATATAATTAATTTTATTTTAAGCTATTAAAATACTATTAATATTAATAATATATTTAAGGAATTTAACTTTATATATATATTATTTATATTTTTAAGGTACCATTATTAGGTTATACTTATTAAATCATTATAATACTTTTTTAATTATTTTATTATATTCCTTTTTTATTTTTATATAAATTAAAAGGTTATTAAAATATATAAATAGCTTTATATTAATAAAATCCTAAAAAATATAGTTTATTATAAATTAAAATATTATAAAAGCATTAATAAATCCTATAAATATTATTATATATTTAAAAAGTTTATATTTATAATAGAATATTATTTTTTATTTATAACGCATCTCCCACTTGACCTGGCCACCCAATTGACCTGGCCACCCCCCTAGCCCATACAAATAACATCGGTGCGTTAATCACGTGATAATTTAATAACTCTACAAATATTAGTTGTATAAAATAATAAAATATACCATTAGATTCATAATGAAAAGAGCTATTTAACGGTACCCTTTATTGACTTTTACAACTTATATCCGCGGAGTTATTAAGCTATACGCTAAAGTAAGCGCTAAAGTAAACCCTGCTTAGCGCCTCTTTAGCGTATTGCTTAATATCTCGCTTAATAAATTTTATAAAAAATAGTAAAAAATACCTTTGGATTCCCCTTGAACTAACGGATTTAACGGTACTAATTATCAACCCGTACGATTAGTATTCGTAAAGTTATTAAAGATTGAAATAATGGGGTTTTATATAGGTTATTGGGGTGGCCAGGTCAATTGGGTGGCCAGGTCAAGTGGGAGATGCGTTAACCCTTTTTAATTTTAATTAAATAAAATTTAGACTTTAAGTTAATTTTAATAAACTATTTAACTTTTTAAAATCTAACTTAAAGTTTTATAATAAAAGGAATAAAATACCTTATTAATATTATAACAATATTAAAGCTTTAATAATCTATAATGGGGTATAATAAATTATTTAAATTCTTTTTTTTTATAAATATAAAGGGTGCCCTATATAATATAATAAATTTATAAATATAATTAATTTTAAACATTTTATTTAATTAAGGTTTAAATATATTTAATTTATAATTATTTATAGTATAAAGGGGTTTTTAAAGTAAAATCTTCCTATTTATAAGGTTAATTATATAATCTTAAGGTTAATAATTAAATAGCTATTATATTATTACTTTAATTATAATAGGGAAAAATTTCCTAAATTCTTTAAGGACTTATTTTATTACTATTTTAATTATTATTTAAAATATAGTTATTATAACTTTAATAATTCTTAACTTAAAAATAGCTTAATTAATATAATTTTTATAATAGTTTTTAAAGGTAAATATAATTTTCCCTATATTTTCGAAAAAATAAATAGGTTAATATTCTTTTATCTATTATTAAAGTAAAATAATATTACAATTTCTATTAAAGGTATTTAATTTAAAGCTAAGCTTTATAAAATAATTTTTTTAATATTAAAAAATAATCTATTTTATATAATACTGCCCTACCTTTTATATATATATTATATTAAAAGTTAATATAGGTTTAAAATATACTCTTTTAATAAAAGGTAGCTTTTATTATTTAACCTTTAAAAAGAACATTATAAAAATAATATTATTTATATTTAAAAGTACTTTAATTAAATATTTTTAATTATTATATAATAGGGTTATAAAAATAATAAGCCTATACTTTATTTTAAGTTTTAAATTAACTTTCTTTTAAATTAATTTAAAAAGTTTATTTTTTATTTATTTAATTATATTAATATAGGAAAAGTTACCTTTTTAAAAGCTTAAATTCCTATATAATACTTTATAAAGCTTAATTAAAAATCTAAATCTAATTTTTCTATTTTTATATATTATATAGGATTAATTACTTTTATAATAATAATATTAATTTTAGCTTATTTTTCTATAAATAATAATTCTATATTATTATTAAGCTTTTTTTTAATAAAAAAAGTTTTTTTAAAGGTTAAAAAAAGCTCTTTTTTATTAATATCTTTTTTAATATAATAAATAAAGATATAATAATTACTTTTATTATATTATTAATAATTAATTTTATTTTACTTTTATTTATTAATAATAACTTAATTAATTCCATTTAATATAATTATAATATTAAATTAATAATTATTCTTAAAATTAACTTTAGGTTTATTTAGCTTTTTATTAATAGGTTTCCTTTTTTTATCCTTTTTTAAGGATTAATTTAAGCTTAAATTAAAATAATTCTTTTTACTTTAATTTTAATAGCTTAACTTTAATTGCTCCTTTATTAAATTAAATATACTTTTTAAAAATAATTTAAAGTATATTAATATATTTTTATAAATAATACTAGCTTTTTAAATTATATTAAAAAACTTATTATTATTTTTAAAGATATAGCTTTAATTATAATAAACTATTTTTATAAATTTAAATAATAAATATTTAATAATAAAGGTTTAAAATATTAAATTAAATTACTTTATTAAATTATTATAATTAAAGATTTTAATAAAAAATTAAATAATATTATTAAAATATTTTACTTTTATAAAAATATTAACGTTTTAATATATTATTAATAAGTTTTTAAATTAAGCTTTTAAAGCTATTTAATAAATTGCTTAAATATTAATAATATTAATATAATAAATTTACTTTTAATAAGATTAATATTATTATAAAGCTTTATTTATTATAAAAAAGTTAATTTAATTAATATAATATTTATTAAAGGAAAAACTTTTTATATATATAAATATATAATTTTTAACTTTAACTTATTATAAAAAAATTTAAAAATATCCTTTTTATTATAAATATAAAGCTTATTAAGTTAAATAAAATTAAATATTATAATTATAAAACTAATACTTTTAAATATAGCTAAAAATATATATATTAATTTATTAATAAAAGGGTTAAAGGGATTTTTATTATTTAAATTTCCTTTAAATCCTTTATTAGGGTTTTAAAGTAGCCTTTAAAGTAATCCTTTAAACGGATTATAGGGAAATTATCCTTTAAAGGGGTTATTATTATCGTTAAAGTTATTAAGGTTTCCTTTTAAGTTATTTTTAAATAATAGGGTAATTTTAGTAAAAGTTTCCAAAAAATTTTTTATAGCTATATATTATATTTAAAAGGCTTAAATAATTAATTAAACTTTTATTATTTATAATGTTTTATTATTAATTTATTATTATAAAATAACTTTTAATAATAAATACTTTATAATAAAATAATTAATAAAGCTGGTTATAATATTATACTTTTTTAACTTATTAATAATTTAATTTATATTAAATATAATTTATTTATTTAATTAATTTTAAATTTTTTAAATTATTATTTAAATATATATTTATAATTTATTAATTTAATTAAGGTTTATAATAAAGCAGTTTATAAGTTAATTAATTTATCCTTTAATTATAATAACCTAATTATTTATAACTTTTTAAATTTCCTAATAGTTAGCTTTTTATTTAATAAGTTTACTTTAAAAAGTTTAAAGTGCTTAATAATAATAATCCACTACCTTTTTAAATTAATTAATAATATTAAGTTAAAAATAAATATTTTATATAATATATATAATAATTCTTTATATATTTTAAAAAAAAGTAATGCTTCTTTATATAATTTTTTATTAAAAGTATTTTATTTATTTTTAAATTATTTATATATTTATTTTATATAAATTAATTAAAATATTATATATATTATAAATAATAATATATATATTTTAAAGTATTTCCCTTTATTTAAAAGGCATTTTTTATTTATATTTTTATAAAAATTAAGCTGCTTAAAAGGTTTTATTTATATAATTATAAATATTTATAACTTATTATAAAGGATTTTAAATTATTATATTTATATATTTTATTTTTATATTTTTAATATTATTATAAATAGTTAAATTATAAAGGGTAAATTTTATAGCTTTAAATATTAATTTAGGGGTTATAATAAAAGGATTTTATTATAAAGTTAATTAATTAATAAATTTAAATAAATCTTTTAAAAAAGGTAATCCTTTAAAAAAAGGGAATATAATTTAATTAAAATAAATAAATTTAAATATAATAAATAATAATAAAAAGGATATAGCTTATTTAAAGGTAAAGGTTAAACTTTAATTAAGGTTAATAAAATATTTACTTAATACTTTTATATATTTTAATTTTATTTATAAATTATTAAAGGATAAGATATTTTTAATTTTAGCTTTTAAAGTTTAATAAAGTAATAAAAATAAATAGCTTAACTATTATTTATCCTTAAAATAATTTTTATATAATAAAAAAAACCTTAAAAAGTTAAAGTTTAAATTATTCTTATTAAAATAATAAAAATTAAAATTAAAGTTTTATAATTAAAATATATTTATAATTTTAAAAAAGTTTAAAGCCTTTAATTAATAAGGTTATTAACTACTTCTTACTTTTTAAATAAAAATATTAAAATTATAATATATAATATTTAAATTATTAAATATAAAATATAAATTCTTTAAAATACCTTTATTTAATAAAGGTAGGGTAAATATTTTATTAAAGTAATCCTATATTTATAGGGACTTAGGCTTAAAATAATATTATATATACGGGGAATTTATTAAAGCTTATCTATTAAGCAAAGGTTTAAGCTATATTGAAATATTTTAAAAGGGAATAATAGATTATTTATAATAAGGGTTTTTATAAAGGGTTTAAAACTTAATTATATTTATTAATAATCTATTAAAGGTTTTTAGGGCTTTAATCTTTTTCTTTCCTATCCTAAAACAGGAAATTCCTTAGCTATTTATGCTTATTTAAGCCTTATACAATTTATAACTCCCCTCCTTTTATTGGGTATTCATGCTTTAAATGTTGGTCTTCTTACAGCTAACAGATTATTCTTATCCAATCGCTTATAGCCTCACTTTCTGCCAGGGGTAGCGTCGGCTATCTTCGGGTCTTTAGGTCTCATAGGACTGTCCGTGTGACACATGCACTAGAAAAAGAACAACATCGACTGTAGCGATCTACAAGGCTTTTCCCGGGCTACTCCAAGGCCACGGAAGCCCATCAATGGCGAGAACAGCCATACAGTCTCACGCCGTGGGCGTATCCGAGAGAGTTGTGGCCTTGTTAATCTATGTGGTCTATGACCCTACCTGACGATTGCGAACCCCCGCCTGTCATTTTTAGAGGCTGTGGGTAATAGACGGCGCAATAGGCCATCCATTTAAGTGATGATATTCCATGAAACCCAGCAATACTTGCCCCCCTCGTCTTGTAGTCCAAGGGGGCTTGCACAGACCAGCGGATGTAGTATACCGGTGAAATAGTCGGGATCAATCTTGATTGAGTGAATCGTGTCGGAATGGTGCCCGACAGCCGTTGTTTTCTATACTTAAGCATTGCTCCTCCCAGCCCAGTGGACCGTCACTTAATTCTATCGATATATTACCATCATATAGAAATCAGAACGAATCCCCCCCTCCCAGACACTGTTTTTCATTCACCGGGTACTTCTCCCAGCATGTTCGTCCCGAACCTAGCCTCCCTCCCCAGTAACAGAGCTCAGTTGGAGAAGTTGCGTTCCCAACTTGGCCTGCAGGGGGGGACTATTCATACGACTGCTCAAGTCATCGAGTCTTGATCTAAAACGAAAATAGAGACCTGCGTCCTCCTAAATGTTATATGGCTGGCCGACCGTCCAGCTGCCCATATTTTCTCGCCCGAGGGCAAGAAAATTTGGGCTGAGAAGAAGATCTTCGAAACCACAGCAAAGGTCCGGACCGTAAAAGACTTTCTATACTTCCTCGACAATATCATAACGGGAATCTGGCCAGAAAGTGACGCATATTCCGTGGTATCAGCCTGGGAATCCGTTCATCGTATGGAAGGAACCATCCGAAACGGCATCAATTGGACTGTGGTGGAGGAGCTGTCTACTCCACCCATTTCCAGCCGAATTCGAGCCAAGTTAGAGGGGAGATGACCCAAAATGGTTGACTGAGCAGCCTCGTGACGAGATTCAAGCAACCACGCAAGACTTTGGCGACATGAGCTTGGGCTCGCCAATCAGAATAGGCCGGCCACAGCTAGAGCAAGAACCCCCTTGGCCAAGGAGTCCACAATATGGTTCTTCCAAGCTGGACAGTGACGAGTCGATCGTGAATTTCTTTTTCATAACATTGCTCACGCATTTTGGGCAATATGTGTCAGAGAAAACAAGAGAATGGTCCCCCGAAAGACGGGCCTTCACTGTGACTAAGACAGATCCGACAACGGGGAAAGATATCAAAATCTTCACTGCGATGGTGGATGGTATTCTTCGCGGTACTACCAATGACGCGGTTCTGGCTATCGTAGAGGTGAAGCCCTATCTACGATCCAGGGATAAAAATAAAGCTAGGATGCAGGAATGTGCTGAAGTATCAGCATGGATCGCCGTACGTCCGCCTGCTGATCTTGAACAAGGACGGAAAAAGGTGAAAACATTCAAGTAAGAGCACGTATCCTTCTACAGTTGATCACAGCTAATCATAACAACCTATTAAGGCGCCTTCTCCTTTCACAAGATCACCACGAGGTGTGGGTTACCTTTGCGATGTTCCAAGCAGAGTACGTGGACTTTGTGCAGGGGCGCAAGGTAGAAGCGACACCACTCCTGACCTTTCAAACTTGGGGCCCTTTCCCAACAAATAGTAGTAGCTCGACGAAAAGCTTTGCGCACATCATAGCAACTGTGATCAAGCAGGGGAATATTGACGGGAACGATTCGTGATATTTCGTGATATTTGGAGTCTGCAGTTGGCGGTTTATTACATCTAATGTATAACTATAGACAAAAAAATATCCTCTTGTCTCCTACTCATCTTTTTAGGGGGTAGGGAGGTGCCCCATGATATGACACTGTCGGCTATCATAGATGAATATTGGCATCACATCATGGCATTCTTCGCATCCTGCTGCTCCTTTGTGAAGTTTTTAGATGATAATGAAGATTGCGCCTCGCATGAACGAAATATTTAGACTTTTCGCCTTTTTCGGTGCAGGTCTCATCCCTATCTTTTTCGGGGAGCCAGTAATTCATCACGCGACCTGGGCATGGCCGAAAGAGGGGAAAACTGGAGTTCAGAATCCTGGTCGACCTGGATCCACCAAACCGTGACACGTTCAATCAACCCAGGGCCGTTATCAGGTCATCGTTGACCTACTTCAGTTCATCGAAACGACACGATCCAAAAGATTGGTTAAGGACACCGAACAGCGTGATAAGGTTCTGGCTGAATACGGGAAAGCAAGCTAAACATGGCCATGTGCCAACCCCGGCCACATCCCACTATAGTTTTTGTAGGCTACCTAGCCTCATCCTTAAGGAAGCACGGATCACGTAGCACTTCAGCAGCAGAGGGCCGTTTTGAGGGAGTGTAGTGCAGAATTCTCCGAACAAGCGCTTTGACTTTGCGCGCTTCTTCCTCGTCAATGTCTAGTCCTGCCTGATCAAATGCCTCTTCCATGGTTGGTTCTTCCAGCATAAGTGGCTCCTCACCTTCAGGGACCCCCCCAAGCTGACAATTGTAGAGCTTTCTCTCGGGTGTAAAGTAAAACGAGGATGTTTTCCAGTGCTGGTAGAGGTTACCAGGGAGTGGCCCGAGACGAGCGGTCATTAATCGGAGGTGCTCATCATCTTGCTCAGTTTGAGTTGGGTACCATGGTATACAGAAAAGGGGGCGTCCTGTGAGAAGCTCGAATAGCAGGCAACCAAAGCTCCAGATGTCCATGGTATAATCAAAGGCGCCGGTAAGTACGTATTCAGGTGTTCGGAGGCCGGCTGGGGTAATAGGCTTGGCCGGCGGCTCCTTGACAAAATAGGCTAGATAAAGAGGATCTTAGCATGGAACGGAGAAAGAAATAGAGAGAGTATACTGACCCCCACCCATATCGGATAACTTGATCGCGAAATCTTGAGCATAGTCGGTCGGGTATACAAGCGGTTGTGCAATGCAAAGATATGGAGGGGCCCATCTATCCTGCTTTCCATCTAACCTCTCTACCGGGGGTGAAATCAAACGGGCTTGCACATCTTCTTTTTGACGGAGTTCGTTCTCAGGCGTCGAGTCGATGTTACGAAGCGTGAAGAGCATATTCCCTGGCTGAAAATCGCCGTGTGCAATGCCATTTTCGTGCAAAAACACCAAGGCTTGCAGAGATTGCTTGAGGATACCCTTTGCCATCCAATATGGATAGCGTTTTATGACGCCGGGGAGATAGGGGTGGCCTCTGAACGGGGGGAGCTCTTCTACCATGGTGTTCACAGTTGGACCCATAGGTTCAAAAAGCAAGCACGTATGGACCCCGTTAGGCCCCTCATGGTTGAACTCATCTAACAGCTGCGTAATATACTTTGGGCCTTCTGAGGCTTGGCCCAGGAGTCGCAAGATTACAGTCTCGTTGCTGGGTTCTGAGACTTCCGAAACGGCAACCTTCATAGCCACATATTTATTGTTCCTTCGGATGGATGAGCATGCTCAGTCTGTAGCGCCAAGAGACAGAGATGGTAAGTAGATGTACTGACCTCAAATCACGAGCCAACCAGACAGTCGAGAATGAGCCTTCGCCAAGCTTTCGAATAACTTTGTATTGACCATTGTGGAAGACGTCGCCTAAGACGACGGGATGATAACCACCAGGATGATACTCTTCTACCCATTCGCAAGGCGATGTAATTCCCTTGAATCTTCTCTTGAAGGATCCTGACGCCCGAGGTGCCGAAGGTGTCGGAGGAGGGGAGGTATTACACATGGCTATGATTGAGATGTGTTGTCTAGGGGCTCCGGGGCAGTGTGTGCTAAAGGCTGTGCGAATTGTTGATCGAGAGGAGATGCGACTCAGCGAATCCCTTTATAGCCTCGCAATACTGCAAGTCGTATATCTACCTAAGTAGGTAAGTACTTAGCTAGAGTGATGCTGAAGTCTGCCTTATCTGTAATGTTGGTGCTCAGGTTGCGGTTGGCCCAACTAGCTTAGATGTTAGCCCCATACATGAAAATGCCATTGGCGGAAGTGGTCAGACTGGCCCAGTATCCCCACATAGGTACGTACCGAGGCTCAATCGTAAATAGAACATGATAGGCCGCCCTTCAGGTCTCTCTGTATTGTTGGCTTGCAACATATGCCTAGGCACAACGCGTAACGTGTGTGATCATCGTGGCAGGAATAAAATCAAGTGCAAACCATTCCGACTGGCGACTTATTGGTACTGAGACACTTAGATGCTCTCTTACATCATATGTCGAGAGAAAGATGCAGCCTGAAGGATGCTTCCACGCCGGAAGCTGAACCATACGGTCTTGGAAAGGTATGGGCAATACAATTGCCTTCAGGTTTTGCGCAGTAATTTTCGCAATTATCATCACCCGACGTCCCTTCAAAAGACATCCCGCTGCCCAAGTTTTTGCGTCGCCTGGATTAAATCAGATCTGCTGAGGCAAGCAATTGAGATTGTACTTACGTTCGTTATCAAATATAGATATGAACGGTGTGGGCTCTGACGATGCATCCCTCCAGTCCAAATGTCTATTGAATTTCCCTTGATTTATCCAATGACTGTAGGGCATGTAGTAGTGGGCTCGAGATTCGAAGCCACCATTATCACTATTATCGTAGAAGGTGAATGATCCCTTGTACTGAACACGGAAGAAGCTGTTAGGTGGGTGACGGTGTAGTGCATCCATTTCGCTGTTACGAAGCAGTTGGGTCGGGATTAATAGCGACTTGGCGGAACTATAGAAGGTGTAAATTGTCGGATAAAGATATTACGCCGATAGAGGCCTCAAAGAAGGACAGGTTCAGGAATCAATTTGAGCAGCGCTCTTCAAATAGGAACCGTGTGAGGGGGGCGGGGATTAAATGTATGGGTGAAAAGCCAATCGATTAGCTCAAATTTAACGCTTCGTATCTGTAGTGATGCATTACCCGTATATACAGCCGACAAGGAAACATTTGGCATACGGTCTCGCAACTTGTTTCCACGCGTACGAGCTATCTCTTGGACATCGGCAACGATGCTGGAGATAATGACGCCGCAGAGATGCTTCAAGGAAACAACACTTTGGCTAAGATAAACTATACTGAGTCTGGTAGGATTGGAATTATAGCGAAGCTTGGAGATGGATAATAGAACATTTCAAGATATGACAAACAGGAAATGAGATGATCATGGTGAGGGGTGGGGAGGCGGGGCGTTAGGGACTAGCAGGGTGAAGCCTAACGTAGCTACATAGGAAAATGAATACTCGCCTATAGACCCGAACTACGTACGGACGGAAAAGGATAGGTGTATTCAAAACAGTACCGTTCAGAACAGGACTAGAAAGGGGCATTGGAAGTAATTATAACTGTACTGTTTCCCCTAGCACGGTGCACGTCAAGTCCGTCTATTTGAAAAGCAGCTATCTCGATTGTTTCGTTCATGATACAGGGCATTACAGTGATAATGCCCAGCCAAGTGAGGAAGATAGTATTTTTCTCTCCAAACGTCCAACTCCTTCCCCAAATGTAGAATAGGCTAATCTTCTAGATCGAGCTTCTAGCGGCGGGAGTACCCGAGGGTATCGGCCCACTTCACTATAACTAGCGCCGCGGCTAAACGACCCTGTGCGAGGGATACTGTAGAAGATACAGGTTGACGATATATAATTCTAGTAGATGACACCCCGCATGGGAGAAATGTGCAGTTGGAAACGGTATGAGAATATGTCCCAATGAAGCCCTCATACACATCAAGTACGCGTTACTCAATTGTTGCAGCTCTATTCCAGCTTCTCTTCCATCAAATCATAACCGTTTAGCATCATGTCAGGGACTGCGTCATAACCCAGAAAGTCCTGCAACTGGCTGAAGGCAAGGGTAATCGCACTAGGCGGTGAAGTCGCAGCCTCGCATGTACTGTTTCGAGGTTCCATTTCACAGCCGCTGGGGAATGTGTAATTTTCGGGGATATTTGATGCATGCTTTTCTTGGAACTCATTAAGAACTTTAACACTTAGTCGTGAGAAGAGATCGGTGATATGAGCGCGAAGACCATCGCTCATCCCGTGGCTGTGGCTTATAGCAGCTAACTCGCGCTCAACGAGCGGTACAAGCGCTTGCACTTGATGCTGGCGGTAGTTTTCGAGCAATTGAGATGAAGCCTTGGATATGCAAGCGACACAAGGTTCGTCACGATCTGGAGAATGCATGAATAATCAGCTTATAATATGAGCAGGGACACTAGATATACGCACAAGGACTCGGGACAAAACTATCACCCGGGAACAGGATCTTATAGACCGAACACCATTTATCCTCGCTACTTATGTTTGCGCGCTTGCCGGCGCGACGTTTTAGCTGAACTATCTGATCTGCCGTGATGAACTGAGACAAGGGGGCGTCGAGTATTAGTGGGCATGCGTTTATGTTGCGCTGGTGCTTAGCAAGCTCATTGGCATTGTTGAAATCCCGACGACATCTGTGGCACTGGTTCTTTGGCGCGTGGCATCGAGAAATGTGCTCCCTACAATAAAAGTCAGCTATGGCAACCGTAAGTGCCTGTAAGACGTGACTTGCTTTACTCGAGCAACGGAATCCCAGTCCGAGCGCCTACAGGTCCTGGAAAGGGCCGCATTATGACAGTCCTTCCTTAAGAAAGGGCACGCGAGCTTTCTGGCTTGCACTGAGAGGCCCTGATGATTCTGATCAAGGCTGGATGTTTCAGCAGTAATAGTCTGATAGTCAATTGTTTCCTCTATATATTTCCGCTTCAAGCTGTTTGCAGAACTAAAACTGAGGCTATCATCTAGGATAACGTCATGTATGGGATCGGAATCCATTGGGTCAAGGAGAAAAATTGAGCGGGGAAATTGTTTTGGACGAATCAGAACGAGAAGTGGTGAGGGGTACTTGTCAGGCTGATGTGGGGCGGTGATAGTTCGTCGGCTTCAAATCATCAAAAAGAAAAACAGAGAGGAAAAGAGAAAGGAAAACAGAAAGAAGATAGAAGATGGCCGCAGGCTAGGTAAGAAAAGCTTGAAATTTTCAGAAATGACCTCCATTTTGCGAAAGAATCACTCTGCGATGAGATAGTGGGCATGATTCTGTCATTCTGCCCGTCACGTGCCTTATCAGAGGATCAGATAGCTTTCGCGGAGTTGGCCGCTACCGTATTCGGATAATCTTTCAACCGAAGTAGTGGTACAAGGATGAGCACATAACTAAAGTTCACAGTATTCAGGGCACCTGGATAGTAGGTACTTCTAACTCATCTTCTAGAAGTAATAATACAAGCTAGTATACACTTCATTCTAACATCCGCTTCTTACCCCGGAATATCCTTGAGGTTCAGTCGCATCATGGCACCTTTCTGGGCGTCTGGTTGAGTCAACACCAGGCATAAGAGGTGCCATGATGCGACACCTGGCACCTGAAGAGAAGGTAAACCCGACATAACCTCCTTGACTGCTCTGGAATCACTCATACCTTTCTCCTAACTAATTTATCTCTCTCACGTATTCCAGGCAAACTTTCTGCCATCCTTCGCTTTCTGGCTGAAGTCATCTTGTTCTTCAGGATGAAAAGTTTGGTATCCCTACCTAAAGGATGATCAACCTGCTGTCCCTCAAATATGGCCCAGCGATTTGTGAGCGCATCGCAAGGGACTTCATTGTACTCCTCGCGTACTGCTTGCAGCGCCTTATTAATTTCGTTATGCCTGTAGTTAGGGGTGAATAGCATCCCTGCAGGTTGACTCGTCGCCATAACGATCTTCTCTAGATTCGATGTGCGGTGAGCAATTGAAAATACAAAAGTATTCGGATCTATCAGACCAAAACCCTTGTGCAAGCGAGAGTTGACAATAGTGATACCTACCTTGGGGAAAGCATCTATCTCCATCGGCGTGATGTTAGGGTCTTGTGCGAAGACCTGTACCTCTTCACCACCATTGAACTCCTTGAACAATTTCGCAAGCTCAAGAGCCGTTGCGTACTGACAGCAGTACTTCCATACTGTGGATTTCCCATACTTAAAGTTAACTGATACCGACTGAGGGGAACCGAGAGAGAAGCAGACGATTTTGTTAATATTGCTCAAACCTGCCTTGTGTTGCCTAAGAACGCGCATCAGCTCAGCAAGATCATTGTGCTTAGCCCAGGTTGCTTGATGCGCTCGAAATATCGTCAAAAACGGATCTTCGCAAAAGAACTCGGGTCTAACCTTTTCAGCGATATCAGTAGTCCAGAGCTCATTCTGTAGAATGGAATCCGCCTCCTCGGCTATCAGATTTTTGCGCTCTGGATCGTCTAGCTTGAGCGACAAGAAATACTCGCGGCCGAGACCCTTTTGTAGAGCCATCGTGTATTAAACTAATCTCGAACTTGATTCAAATGAGAGATTACTACTCTCTATGGTGGTGATGGTGGTATATTAACCAGTTGAGGTATTGCTGTCGTCTCGGTGTATTATGGGAGAATCTGTTGCCAGTAAATCTTTTACGTTCAAGAATCAGGTCGACGACTCATATAAGGCGAGCCAGGTGGTTTGTTAAAGAATGTCAAAGCATGGACTGTTGCTTGTGCAAGGAACTCATATACAATGACATTATGGAAAGTAGACGACAATCATACATTGTTGAAATCAACAATGCAATATTCCTTTATGGTACATAAAAGAGAAACTGGCACGATGCAATAACGCCTTTGCTTTCCCGCATTGCTATGTGGGACAATCCTAAAATAGCACAAATGTGAAAGGCCTGGAGAGCAGGTACCTTTACGTGGGTCCGTCGAAGCCTGGCCACGTGCAGCCTTATGATGACTGCGACAATAAAGGGGTAGCTTTTCTATAGCCAAGTTGTACAGAGCGTGGGCAATGAAGTAACAGTCAATATAAGGCGACGGGCCCGTCAGCACCACGCCTAGAATCAGGGTGATAGTGCATGTCTAGGGATGCATTCTCGGCTGAGGATCAGCAAGCTGAAAGGAACATCCCGTATCGCGTTGCAATGGCGTTGCTCGGACGCGACGTTGCTAGATTTGATGGGATGTGGCTCTCTTTGCAATGAGTGGCTTACAGCATCGAGTCATCTACCTGATTGGACAACATACTGCTGATTGAGGTAGCACAACAACACATATGGTATGTTCTCACTAAGCAAATCGCAAGGGTCCCGGGCCACCACGTCACGGGCCACCCCACCACCCACCCAACACCACTCAATTGAAGCCGTATTTTTCAACGAAAACGATCGCGATCGCTATTTTTAAGCGGTTATAACTGTAATATAGTTTTTAAGCTCCAAAATATCCTTTTAAATAATCTTTAACAGGTTTTTTAAAGTTTTAAACACTTTATAATTATTTATTTTATTTTTATAAATCTTCCTATTATATACTTTATATTTAATCCTTTATATATTTAATATATTTTATAAATTTATATTTAAATATTATTTTTACTTTTTTTTTTTAATTTAATTAATTTTTTAACTTTAAATTAAAAGTATTAAACCTTTATTTTAAAAGTTATAATTTTATTAATTTAAAGGTTTAATACCTTTAAAGCTTTTTAAATAATTAACTTTTATATTAATATATTAAATATATAATAATTTATAATAAATTTTTAATAACTTTATTAAAGATTTTAATTTATTAAAGGTATTATTATAATATATTTAAGGTTAAATATTAAAAAGTTTAATATTTTAAGTTTATTTTTTATTATAAAAGCTTTATATTTAACCTTTAAAATATCCTTTCTTTTTAATATTATATATTTTAAAAATAATAATTTAATTTAATTTTATAAAAATATTTTAATTATTTTTTATATATTTTTAACTTATTTAAATATTAAAATATTAATTTTTATAAATTATAATACTTTTAATATATTTTTTTAAAAGGTTTAATATTTAAATTAATTAAAAAATATTTATAAAAATAATTATAAAACTATTTTTTTAATAATTTAAAGATTTTAATATTTAATATTTATATAATATAATTATAATAAAATTTATAAAAAATTAATTATATTTTATTTAATATATAAATTATTAAAAAAATATTATTTATATAATTATTATAATTATTATATATTAATATTATTTATTTATTATTATATTAAGCTTAAATTTATAATATAAAAACCTTTTTAAATTAATTTAATATAATTTTATTATTAAATTACCCTTTAAATAAAGCTTAAAAAAATTAATTATTTTATAAATTTATATTTTATTATAAAAATTATTAATATTAAATATTTTTACCTTTAAAAATTATTATTAATAAAAAGGTATAGCTATTAATAATAATATATTTTAATATTATTATTTATTTATCTTTATTAATATCTTTTTTAAATATTAAATAGTTAATTACTTTATAAATAACCTAATAATTATTATTAATATTTTATTTAACCTTTATTTTATTTATATTATATTAATAATCTTTTAAAATATTAATAACTTTTAAAGCTTTAAATTAATTAAAAAAAAGGTTAATATTAATTATTATAACGAACATGTTAAATATGCACTGTGCCGGAATACTGTACGCACTATAGGGGGATATTATAAAAATATATAAAATCTATATTAATAAGGTTATATAACCTATAATAGCTATTAGCCCATATATATTTCTATATATATATATATTTTAGTTTTATCTTTTCTTCCTTTTTTCTTTAACTTAAAATTTTCATTTATAATATTAATATAGTTATACTTTAAAACTTTAATTATAATACTATTTTAAGCTTTTCCTTTTTATTAACGAATATTATATAAGTATATTATTTATATTTAATCGTTATTATTTATAATTTATAAATTAAACCCTTTTCTATTATTATATTTTATATTTAATAATAAATAAATATAACTTTATAATAAGCCCAATTAATAGAATTAAACCTTATACCCTTTAAAATTAAAAAAACCTTAATTAAAATAAATAACCTAAAACAATTTTAATAACTATTATTATATATTAACTATATCTAACGTTCCTATAATTAATAAATAATTAACCTAAAACTTTATCCTTTTTATTAAAGAAGAAGAAATTAATATTAAATTTAAAAATAGCTTTTAAAACTTTTTAAACTTTAAATTAAAAAATATAACGCTTTTACTATTAAACCTTAATTTAAATAAAGGACTAATAAAACTATTTTAACTAATAAATAAAATAAATATTATTAATTAAATTGTTTTAATTTAATAGCTATAAGATTAAATTATTACTTTTTAAACTTAAATAAAAAAAAGTAGCTTAACCCTAACATTATAAAAAGGTATAATTAAAAGTACCTTTAATAAAATTAACTTTAAGCTAATTAATATAATTATATAGGTTATTTTTAAAATAATTAACTTAATAGGTAACCTTATAGGCCTAAACTTAAAATATATAAAAAAGGTTAAAACTTATAAAATTAACCTAAATATTTTTTTAAAAATAAAGATTTATTTAATAATTAATTAGGAAAGCTAACTAATAAATTTAAAAAAAAATATAATAATATATTATATTAAAAAGAACTAAATATATTATATTATATCCTTTTTAAAGAAAGATATTAAAAAAGCAGTTAAAATTTACTTTTATTTTATTATTTAACTATATAATAGTTTAATTAAAATAATATAAATATTAAAAATTGCTTATTATAATTTAAATTAAACTATTTAAATATAAAATGCTTTAAATAAGTTTTATTTTAAGTTAAATTTTAATATTTATTAATTTATTTTTTAATTTAATAACTTAATATTAAAGTTAAAGTTATTTAAATTTAAATAGTTTTAATTTTTATTAAAATATATTAGCTTTAACCTTAAAATTAAAGTATTTAAAGCTAATATTAATTTATTAATGCTATATAAACGCTTTTATAATAAAGTAATAAAGGTAATATATAATTATAACTATTATTATAATTGCTAAAAGAAAAAACAAACTATTAGCTTTATTAATTATAATTTTAATAATGAAAGGAATATAAATAAAGGGAATATT